ATAAAAATATTATGTTTTAGTTTTACAGCTACAAACCAAAATACCTTAACATAAAAAAAATACATAACCTAAGGAACCTAAAGTAAATACGTAATTCCAAGACAATTTTTTAATATACATAGGAGCTAATATACTATTTATAATTGATATAAAATATTTTATAAATAAAGATGTATTTCCTAAATTAAAATATTCTTTTTAATCAAATATTTAACTTATAATTCCCAATCCTGCATTTGCTGAAGATATATAAAGCATAAATACTAAATTTGAATATATAACATTAAATAATGCACCCATATTCTTTTTATTTATTGTAAAATGATTAAAAAGAAATAATCTTTTTAAAACTTAACTATATTTTATAATTAATATTTTAATTTATAATAAAAATAATTTAATAAATATTTTAATAAAAATTCTTTATATTAATTTTAGTTCCCTACTAATTTGATAAGAAAAAATAATATCTATTTCAAAAAAACATTATTAGAATAAAAATAATTAAATATTTTTTATGATATTAATTGATTTATAAATATTAAGTAGAAAATATAAAATATAATTAATTAAAAAATAATAAAATAAATATAAAATTATTATTATTTTTTAATAAAAATATATAAATATATATTTTCTATTTCAATTATATTTATATATTATATAATATCTTTTTTTATTTTTTATATTATCATATATAATTATTATTATCCTATTAACTTTAATTTAATGTATTCTCTTCCTCCTTTATTTCTAATATATTTTTAATAAGCATTTTATAAATATTAAATTAAATTATATTTTATTTTTATTATTAAAGTAAAAAAATAAAAAAAAAAATTACATGATAATTATTGAAATTGATAGTTTGTTTGTTTTTTTTCTTATAGTTCATTTTAGAAAATATCCATAACTTAATCCAACTCATCATTATCAGATTCACTTTCATCTGTCATATCAAAATTAAAATAAGAATCATTATTTTCTTCAAGATATTCTTCAAAATCATCTTAATATTATTTTTCATTATTACTAAAATTACTTTATTTCCTTTAAATCATTTTCTTTTTTTATGAATAAAATAATAATATTACAAATAATAATAATATATAAAATATTAACATTATCTTTGATATTATTTCTAAAAAAAAAAATATTAAAAAATAAAAATAAAAAATTATAAATACCCTTCTATAAACATAGATACTTATGTTTATTAATTAAAATCAAATTCATTATTAAATTATTAATCTTCTTAATCGCTATTATATTCTTAAGATCTAATTGTTTCACTAAGTAATGTGTCGGTTAATTAAGTTTAAATTTAAGGTTTGGTTTATTCATTACTATTAACATTCGATTATTTAGTTTATTTTTTTTATTAATATTATTTATTGTTTTAAAACAAAAATTATTCCATTGTGTTTTAAATTATTTAATTTTTTAATATATCATTAGCTGAAGGTCTTTATTCTGGGACTTTCTTTAACATAGATTTTATAAAATTTTAAAGACTCTATGAATAAGCATAAGATATTTTAGCAGGTTATTCATTTACTATTATACTTATCAAACTCATTAAGCTATTTGACTAAAATGGAGGCTTTTATTTTGAATAAAAAAAAATACAAAATTTTATTTTTTAAAAAATAGACTTTTAATGCACATAATTCAAAAATAATACATCCTAATGCCCATATATCTGATTTATAAGTATAAGGCTTATTTTAACAAATTTCAGGAGATAAATAATAAGGGGTACCTGAATATTTATAAATATAATAAAAAAATTAATTTTGTTTTTATGATTTACCAACTAATGAATTAGCATGCTCGAAAGTACTACTAAGTTATTTAGAAATTCCGAAGTCACCTATTTTAACTCTATTATTCTTTGTTATAAAAATATTGCTTGATTTTATATCCCTATGAAGAACTCTTTTTTAGTGAATAAATTTAAGAGCTTAAGCTAAGTCAATAAACCAATGCCAAATTTGATTTTCATTAAAAGTTTATTTATTTTAATCTTTTTCTTTTATTAGTTTTTACAAATCTCCTAATTCGCAATATTCCATAATTATAATAATTCTTTCTTTTTCTAAATAGCTTTCTATGAATTTAACTATATTAGGATGCTTCATTAGCTTTAATAATTTTAACTTTTTTTTATTTTATTTTATATATATATTTTTTTATTTCATCATTATTTTTAATTTATTTTAACTTCTTGAAAAGCTTATTTGCTATCTCTTTCTGTTATTCCATTCAAGCTTATTTATTTTGCAATGTATTGTTTTTTTGTTTTCTTATTTAAAATTAAAATTGCACTACCTTAAGTTCCTTATCCAATTTATTTTATCTCTTCATATTTATCTAAATAATCTACTTTTTATTTTGACATTTTTTTTACTATGAATTCTAATTAAAAGTAAATATTATTTAAAATAAATCACAAAAAATTAAATACAATTAATAAAAAATATTCATTTGTATATCTAAATTATTAAAATTATTATATTATTAAAAAATTTTATAAAATAATTTTTTCTTTTTAATTTATATTTTATTTTTATACCCTTTTAATAAAGATATTAGAAAATGGATGAATTTTTTACTAAACTTGAATATTATGACCCCCAAACATATGTAATAAAATTTTTGAAAAGAGCTGTAGGTTTACAAGGAAAATCTAAATAAAAAGAAGAAAAATAACCTTAATAAGATGAATAAGTTTCTACGATAAATTTCGAAAAAGTTGAAGAAGCAAAGGATTTTTAAAATATACGTGAATTCGAATCTACTGAATTAGGAAACAAACTTAGAAAAGATTATATTGAATAAAAATATAAATAAGCAGAAATCAATAAATAAAGGATGAAAGAAGTTCATTAATTAATGCCATATAAAGAATATGTCAAACATTATTATAAATTACATCCCGAATTAGTTGAAGAGATAAAAGAAGCTCGAAAAATAACATGGCAAGAAATGCACGAGATGTATTTAGAAGAATATGCACAAACACAAAAAAGAATAGATTTATATAAAGAAAAAGGTTACCCATGGTACAGTTTTTTAAAATTTTGGACATATTTTTATGATGATGATGAAGATGATAAAATTAGTTTTTCCAAAGCTGCTAAATGGGATGAAGATATGCCAAAAAAATTTGTTCTTCCAGAAGATTAAAAATATGGTGGAGATGATGACAAACGTGATTTATAAGGAGTTTAAAATCCAAAATTAAGAAGAGTACTATTTTAAGAAACTTGGGACGAATTTGATCCTATTTACTTTACTTTTGTAAGAACTGGTATTCCTGAACGAGATAATTTTTTCACAAAAATGGAAAATTATTAAATGTACCATAGTACTTATACATGGTTTAATTGGACTTTAATTCTAATGATGCCTGGTTTAAGTAATTAAAAAATATTATTATCATATTTAAATATTTTTCTATAGTTGGTATGGCTGCTGCAAGATAGCTTCCTAAACTTATTGGAAGTGGTACTTTAACAAGATTGATTTAAACTAAATTATAATTTAGAGGTGGCTTTCTACCTGAAATGACAAGAAGAGAAGCTGGTCTTATTTTAAATGTTAAGTAAAATGCTACACCTGACGAAATTAGAAATAGACATAGAAAGCTTATGATTACTAATCATCCAGATAATAGTATTAAATATTTTATTTTATTTTAATTTATTTGTTTGAACAGAGGGTTCTGCTTTAATTGCATCAAAAATTAATTAAGCAAAAGAATTGTTATTAGGAGAAAATAATTGATCTAAAAATAATTAAAAGAAATATTATTATATATTTTAACAATGTAATAAATAAAATTTTATGATTAAAAGTTATTATATTATAATATAAATATTATTATTATTTATTCTTTGTTTATAAAAAGCAAAATATTTATATTAAAATAGTTTGTATTTATTTTAATTATTAAAATACTATAATATTTAAAAATTCTTAATTAGAATAACTTATAATTTTTAAAGAATAAATATTATATTGAAAATATTTAAATTTTTTTTCAAATATAACTTTTTAGAACTAAAAATATTAATTAATACAATTTTGTTTATAAATTTAAACAATTTTAAAATATAGTTGTTATTTAAATATTAGTATTAAATAAAAGAATTTAAACTCTTAATAATAAATAAAGGAAATAAGTATTTTTTAGATAATTGATCATTTTTTTATTATATATATAAAATTTATTAATAAAAATAATAATAAAAAGTTTGTATATGAATATTATATTTATTGGAATTATAAAAAATAAAATAAAATTAACAAAGAATAAAAATAATATTTAAAATTAAAAAAAAAATCATAAAATATATATTAATAAATATAATTTATTTTATAATATAATTAATAGAAATTTAAATATTAATACTTCTTATAACATAAATCAAACGAAATACAAAAGTTAATATATAAAAAATAAACTTTATTATTTAATCTCTTTTTCTTTTGTATTTATTTTTATTAAATAAATAATTTCTCAAAAAACTTCTCTGAATACTTTAGGGTGTTAAAAGTTTACAACTCCTTTAATATGCACTTCTTCATGGGGTTATTCAGGGTGTCTTTTAGTCGAAATTCTCTTACCACTTTTATTTCCTTCTTATTTTTTTTTATCATTTTCTTAATATCTCTTAGCCAAAGCAATTCTAACATTAGAAGGTCTAACGTGTTCAATTTTAACATTAATTCTTTTTTCAATATATCTGCCATTCCATTTTCTGTGGACAATAACACCGACTGATCTAGGGTTAACATTGAAAACACGTCCAGTTCTTCCGTGATATAATTTGTATGGCATACCTTTGTGGGCTGAACCATCAACAAGAATATCTACATATTCTCCAATCTTATATGTTGTAAGATATCTGGAAATTCTTAAATGTCCTTTTGTCTTGAAAGCTTTTGCAAATTTTTTTCTTGTTTATCTTCTATAACCGTAGCTGTGTGTCATTTTTTTTTTATTATTTTTATTTTATAATTTTTTTTATTTATTATTATTTATATTTTAATATATTATTTTTAGATTTTTTTTTTTTTTTTTTTTTTTCTTTTTTTTTTTTTTACCCTTGTTTTAATTTATTTTTTTTCTTTGACTTTCTCTTTTTTTAATTAAAATTAAAATATATTCACATAAAAATAAAGCAAACAATAAATATTTTTAATTTTTATATAAAACATGAAATTATTTTCCATTTGTTTTCTTCTAATAATATTAGTTTAAACTTAGCAAAATTTAAATTATTTTGAATATGGGTATAATTAAATTTATAATTAAAAATTATAGATTTATAATTAAAAATATTTAACCAAAAAAAAGAGTAAAAGTAATTCCTCATCCTTAAAAATAAGCAAAAGGAGGTGAAGATGCCTATTATGCAAATTCAAAGTTTATATAAAAAAAATAAATCTATTAAAAAATAAATATTTATAAAAAAGACTATTGGCAGTTGCTGACGGTGTTGGAGGTTGGTAAGAACAAGGGATTGATCCGTCAATATATTCTAGAACTTTGTGCCAAAAGTATTCCAACAATAATTAAAAAAAATAAAAATATAAAAATGTATTCTAAAATAATAAGCTTGGGCTAATTATACTTACAAAATGAAAAAAAATATTAAAACAATCCAAAAGATCTTATTATAAATGTATAACCAACAGTTTAATATTTAGGTAGTAGGTAAATTAAATTTTTCATATAGTTTTTAAATAAACTATAAAAAATAGTACTTTAGTATTGATTACAATTGATTAAGTAGAAAACTATATATATTCTTCATATATAGGTGATTCAGGTTATATGATATTTAGATACAATTAATAATATTTAGATATTATTTTTGAATTCGAAGAATAATAAAAATCATTTAATTTTCCATTTCAAGTAAGATCTTTTAAATGTTTTATTATATAATAATATAAAGTTAGGTGTAGAAGAAAATGGAGACAATCCTTAAGCTAGTGTTAAATTTAAGCATTAAATATAGCATAATGATATATTAGTTATAGCCTCCGATGGGTATTTTTTCTTGTTTTCATAATGTATATTTTATTAAATTATTAGGGTATTCGATAATTTAGATATGAATTAAATAAAAAATATAATTGAAAATAATGGGAAGAAAAATATGAGCTCTAATTAATTAAATAATCTAGCAGATAAAATTGCATAAAGTGCATTTGAATTTTCAATAAATTAGTATTAATTAAAATATATAATATTATATCTGAATGCAATTAAATAAATATTAATAATCAACTTTTATATTTTAAATACTTAATTTTGGTTAATTTTAAAAATAAAGCATTTACATAATAATAATGTTTTAAAAATATTTACATAAAATAAAATTAAAAATATTTTGTAAGTAATAGAAAAAAATTAAATATATTAAAAACTATAAATAAAAACAAAATATATAATATTTATATAATTCTATATAAATAATAGAATCCTTATTTAAAATTTAAATAAATATATAATAATATATATTTTAATATATTAATGAAATAATTAATTATAAAAGAAATTACAACTCTCCGTTTTCAAAAAAAGCATGGACAAACGGTATAAGAACGTATGGAGGTAAAAGTGATGATATAACAGTTATTGTGGCTTAAATTAAGCTAAAAAAAGAAAAAAAAGAGGAATTATGATAATTATATTTTATATTTTAAAATTCTATAATATAAATTAAAATAACTATGAATAAAATAAAAATATATGACTTAAATTTAATTAAAAATAAAATAGAATTACAAAAAAAATTAAATTAAATATATTTTATTTTAAAAGACTATATCAAAAAATAAAATACGAGAAAAATGTATAAAAGTATTTTTTTTTTTGATTTTTAGTTTTTTAAAAAAAAAACAGAAAAAATATAAAATTATTAGATTAAAAACAATTAGTTAAAATATAATAAAAACAAAATTATTTTTTATTCTTTTTAATTAATTATTTAAATAAAAAAAATATTTTTATAATATATATATTTTTTATTATATATTGATTATTAAACAATAATAATAAAAGAATAGTAATAATTTATTATTTTAGAATAAAACTAAAAGTATTTTATTATATTATATATATATTAATGTAGAAAAATTTAAAAAATAAATATAAATACTACAAAATAAAATGATATAAATAAATATAAAATTACATATATATAAATTAATAATTAATTTAAATATAGATTAATTTAATTACCTGTATTTTTTTAAAATAAAATTAAAACCTGATATATACAATTAAATTTAAATTAGAAAAAAATGGTATAATTTACAACAATACTTGGTAATTAAGCAACAAATGATGAAAATTAATATTACAAAACTGCTTTGGCATATGAATCTGAAATATATGAATGCTTAGACTTTTTCCCAAAAATATATGATGTAGAAATATAATTATAAGGCTTTAATGAACATTAACATATTCACACTATAAACTTAAAATAAGATTCACTAAAAGACTAAAATATGAAAACGATAGTATTATTACATGGATATGGAAATACAAGTTTAAGCTATTATAAAATGATAAAAGATCTAAGCTTTAAATTCGATACATATGCATTAGATTTACTAGGAATGGGATTATCATCTCGTCCTAAATATGAAATAAACGATATAAAAGAAACAATAGAATTTTTTGTTGAATCATTAGAACTTTGGAGATAAAAAATAAAAAAATAAGATAAATTGGTTTTAGTAGGTCATTCTTTTGGAGGTTATATGGCATTAAATTATGCTCTGAAATATCCTTAAAATGTAGAAAACCTAATATTATTATCACCTATGGGAGCAACTAAAAAATCTGAAAAGGAAAATTAATAATTTGAAAAAGAAACAAAAGAAAAACTAACATTTTACCAAAAAATAGGGTATATTGTTTTCTAAAATATGTGGGAAAAAAAACAATCATTTTATGATATATATAATTAATGGTACTATCCAAGTAATATGATAATAAGGATTTATATAAAAAAATTAATATAATAATAAATATAAGAAAACATAAGAAATAAATGGAACGAATATATAAAATATTGCAGAAAACTTCCTAATAGCAGCGAAAAATCAATTTTTTATTTATTAAGATTTCCAAAAATGTCAGCTTTTTATTCTATGGAAGAAATTATAGATGATTATTTTAAATAAAATAGTAATATATAAAAATTACCTTTTGAAACACATTTCATATATGGAGAATAAGATTGGATGTGTAGGGAAGGAGCAAAAAGAATAATATAAGAAAAAAAAAATTGTTCTCATTTTTATTAAATTAAAAAAGGAGAACATTAAATGGTTCATTTAAATGCTGAATAAATAACAGAGTATATACTAAAAAATGTTTGAAATATATTATAAAAAATTATGTATAATATTAAAATTTATATATATGTATATATATATTTTATTAAATATATTATATATATTTTAATTTATATTTTTAATTTATTTAATATATTAATTAAAATATATTATATTTATAATATTTTCAATTTTTATATATATTTTTTTTATATATTAAATTTTAATTTTTAATAAAATTATTTTTATTTAAAAAAATACCATATATAAATATGCTTATAAAATAATTTTTTTATATTTAATATATTTATTATTCTTGTATATTTTTATTTCTAACTAATTTAATTATATATTTATTTTTACATATCTTATTTATGTTTATAATTATATTTTTTATAAATAAATTCGATATTAATATTTTAATTTTTTCATTATTTTTATTAATAATTTTATCATTTTAATTTATTAAATATTTTCTTTAAATTTAATTTTATACTTTATATTTATTTAAATTAATTTATATATTTATTAATAATTATTAATTTTTTTTTATTTTATAAAAAATAAAAATAATTCTAATATATTATAAAAATTTATAATTATATATTCATTAGATATATAATACTTACTTTTTTATTTTATATGTTAATTCTTATATAAATCAACTAATTAATTATATATAAAATTTTATTTTATTTTTAAGAAATCATAGTTATTATTTAAAAACCTTAAGTTTTGTAATTTTATAAAATAAAACTAAAAAAGAAAAAATATTTATAATTTAAATATATAACAACATTCAATTTATAAATGAAAATTTAATAAGAAATTATATTTAAAAACTATAATAATTTTTTATAGTGGTTAAAAAATAATAATCATAAAAATTATATTATTTTTTAATTTAGTAATTGTAAATCATTAATATAAATTTTTGTAAACTTAGGTCAAAATAAGTAAATAATAATTTTAACTGTTTTATTCAATTAGTGATACTTTTTTTATTAAATTGGAATTTTTAATAAAAATTATGTTATTATAAAAATTGAATTAACAAAGTATAAAAAAAATATTGCGAATATAATTTTCATAAAATCTAATCTATTATTTCAAAGATGAAATAATTTAACAATAAAAATAATTCTTAAAATCATAGAAAATATAAAAGTCGAAATCAATATAACAGAAATAATAATTAAAAAAGAAACGATAATAGACCTAAAAATCTAAAATATTAATATTTATAATTTTTTTTTATAACTAAATAAAAGGCATTATCCGTTTTTTCTCTACTTTTTTATATTGTTTATTTTATATTTAAATAAAAATATTTAACAATAAGAAACTGATTTATATGTAAAAAATATTGCAATTTTTCAATTTATGATAGGAATTTTTGATAATTTAAGAAGAAAATTTAACAAATAAGTATATTAAAATAATTATTTAGTTAGCAACAGTAATATTTAATAGAAATTAAATTAATTAAATCATAATTCTATAAAAAAATTTAAATTAATTTTTTTAAAATTTGAATTATTTAAAAAGTGTTAGTATTTTATCATTGCATTTCCACAGAAATTAGATTTATAGATATGAAATTCTAATCAAATCTTCTGAATTTTAGTTTTGTAAATTTAATGCATAAAAAAAAATATTATCCTTTTATTTTATGTAATTAAATATTATTATCCAATAAAACTAAGATAATATATTTAAAGTTAATTTATTAATGTAAATAAATATTATACTATTTATAATCTTTATTTTAATAGTTAATTAATAAGTAGATTTTTTTATTTTAAACTCTTAGTTAACTTAAACAAGATCAATTATATTTTTTAAAAATATTTTAAATTATATAATAATATAAATAAATTTTAAATTGAAGTTATAAATTATTTTTCTTTTTTTTTAATTGATTTTTTTAAAAAAATATAATATAAAAAAACAGTATAAACTAGTAAAAAAGAAAATGTGGGTAATTTATAAAATTATTATAATAAAAATAAATAAGAAAAAAATATATTTTCTTAAATATAATATGAAAAGAAATTAATTTTTCGATATATTCATTTTATTGAAGATGTATCCGATATAACAATACCTCTTATAAGTTATCTTATTTCTATTGTGACTATAATTTTATTTATGATTGATTTATTATTAATAATAAAAATTTTCTGTACAGATTTAATTAATTATTTTATCATCATAATTTTAAAATTAATGTTAATGCGATTTCGTATTTTAATAATTCTAATATTATAATTATTTAACTTTACTAAAATTTAAAAATGATAAAAAATTTATTGAGAATATTATATAGAAATAATTATAATTTTTTAAAAACTGTAATATACTAATTTTCTTCATTTATTTAAAAAATTTATTTTTTTCCTTTTAAAAAATAAAACTATATTAGAAATTAAGTTTCTTAGTTTTAAATATTTATTCAATATTAAATAATAGATATGATGATAGTTTATCCATTTATTTCTTATTATCTTTATTTATTATCATAAGCAATAATTTTTTTATTAGATTTAATTGAATTTAAAAATAAATATATCATTTTAAAAAATAATATAAAAAAAACCTAAAGAAATTATAACGATTATAAAGATTCTTTAAATTTACTTTAAAAATCATAAGGGGTTGATATAACCTAATAATAAAGTTATAAAATTTAATAATACCTTATTACTACAAAACAATAAAAAGAAAAAAATAATATTTCTGAAATTAATGGTATTATAATACACTTTATAATAATTTTATTAAATAATTTTTTGATGATAAATATTAAATATTAAAAACGCATATTATTTAAGATTTTAATTCAATATTTAAAATATTTTAGTTTTTATAATTTATTTTAAATATTATAAATTTATTTATTTCTAATAAAAAATCTTGATTGCATCATTAATATCTTCTAAGTTCTTGAATAATCCCTTCCATTTCTAAATTTAATTTTTTACCTGCTGGACACTATAGTTTTATAATAATTTATTTAACATATATTTATAGATTTTATACATCCTAAAATATTAATAAAAATGTGTTAAATAAAATATTTTAATTTATATTTTACTGTCTAAAAATTCCAAAATATATTTAATTTTAAATATTATTTACTCTCTATAATTTTTTATTTTATAATTGGAATTAAATTAAGAATAAATTATTACTTCCTAAATAAAATTTATAAATAATTTTTATCGTTAAAAATAAAATTTAACTTTCTGATTTCAAAACATATAGTATTTATAATCAAATTTATTTTTATATAAAAATTTTAAAATATATTATCCTTACAAACCACTATTTAAAAATAAATTAAATTAAACAAAAAATTTGTGTATACCAACTATTTTTTAAAAATATTTAATTATATTTAATTTAACTATTATATTAATTACTGTCTATTTAAAATAATTTATTTAATTTTAAGAAATTTTTAAAAATATAATTTACTTTCTGTATTAAAAAAAAAAAAAATTTAAAAAATGTTTTGTTTTTTACCCACTATAAAAATTATGAAATTCAAGAATCAATAATTAATTATATATTTACATACTAATTTTTATTTGTTTATATGATTAAATAATATTTATTTATATATATTTCTGTACTTTAATCTTAGAAAAATCATAAATAAATATAAAAATTTAATTAAGCATACCTTCTAAAAAAATAAATAATAATATAAATATATTCTTGAGATATTCTTTACATACTTTTTACAAAATAAATAAATTAATATTACATATATTTATAATATTTAATTTACAGGCTTTTTAAATTTATAAAAAAAATAAGTTTGAGTACATAAACTTAATTAAAATAATTTACAATCTATTAATAAAATTAATGAAAGTAATAATAAAAAAATACATCAACAAAGCTGCAATGTTTATTATCACACTTTTATAAAAATTAAATTTTACGTATTTATTATTCTATTAAAATAATTTAAAAACTAAAATTTTACTTCATCTATATGTCTATCCATTTAAATTTAGATTTACTTAATTATGTTTTAAATTAAAAAAAAATTAATTATTAAATTAAAAATTAACATCTCTTGATTTTTCTAATAATGCTTTTCCTATTAATAAAATTTATTAAATAAATATTATATTATTAATAAGAAAATACTTTCTGCTTTCTTTGTAATCCTTTAATCTTATCCATATACTTTATTATTTTTACTTTTATCTAGATTTATTTAATGTTCTCCAGTTTTTCCAAAATCTTATCCAACTATCATTTTCGAAACTTATTCTCCTAAATATTATGATTCTTAAAAATATTTAATTAAAATAAATAAAATTTTATAATACCTCCTCCCTTTTCACTAATAATATCTTCTGAATCATATTCTAAAAAGTACTATTGCATTCCTACATCTAAATATCCTCTAACATCTTATAAATTCTATAAAGGCTATTTCATGCTCGCTATAAATAAGTTTGTTTTATCGTAAGCATCTTTATAAGCTGTTAAAGAAATCGAATCATTAACTTTTAATAATCCATCTTCATTAATTAAAGTATACTGTTTTTATAAAATAATTAATATAATTATTATTATTTAAATAAAAACTTATTTCATTTCTTCAATACTTTTTCTTATAACAATTTCACTTTCGTTGCTTTTAAATATTTCTCTTAAAATTTTTCTAATGGCTATCCTTTCATAAGGTTCTTTATGAATTATTGCTCTATAAATAACAAAAATATTTTTTTTCAAATAAAAATATACAAAACCTATATTTTTCTAAATTTAAATTAATATGATCAATCATATGATTGCATTTGTCTACAGTTGCTGCTAATTAATTGCAAATATTTTTAAGTTCTTTTTCAATTTCATCTTCCTCATTTACTTGCTTATAATATTATTATTATAAAAAATCTAAATCCTTAATCAATTCTCCGAATATTAGTTTTATTGGTTTTATGTCGTGTTTATTTTTTTTATGTGTTGTAAATTTACAAAAAGCGCATAAAGGAATAAGCTAACTACTACATCCATCTTCCATACATAATTCATTTAATTAATGATCTCCATGATGGGCTTCTACTGTGCAAGAAGGTAATTTATATGCGCTTAAACTTTCTATTAATCCTTAATTTTTTAGCATTTTTATTTTTGTTGTAAGTTATATTTTGGTTATTTTATTTTTATATAAGTTTTTTCAATTTTATTTTTTTATATTAAATTAAAAAAATAATTTTTTATTTTTTATGTTATAAATGTAATAAATATAAAATCTAACAATTAAAGTAAAATTATATTTTTATTTTTATGGAAATTTGTAAAACTAAATTTTATTAAATAAAAATTAATTATTCTATATATATTTTTTTGATTTTTATTTATTCTTTATAATTTTATAAACTTTTTATTAGATTGATTTAAAATTTTATAAATTATTTTGGTATTATCTATAAAGATATAAAGAAGCATATATGATTAAATTAAATAATTAAAAAAAAAATAAAAAATATATATTGTAATTATGATATATAAATTTTTAATATAGGATAATAAATAAATAAAAAATATATAATTACTAATAAAATACGAAGGTAATATAATATAAATTATTTTATTTTATTTAAATTTATTATTATTTATTAGATATTTAATTTATTCGTTCGTCAATATATTTCTTGATACTCTCAATTAAGAATTAATAGTATCAATAAAAATTAAAAACCTTTATTTCAATCTAAAATAATATTAATCTACCTAATCATAAATATTTAATATTATTAATTCAACAGATTTTTCTTCGGATCTATAATTTTAGAAATTTTATCAAAAACTCATTAATTAATTTTGGTGTTTAAATCTCTAATTTTAGCATTAAGGTTATTAATATTATTTTAAGTTGCTTCTAAGTAATCAACTAAAGATAATCTTCAATCATTAAATTATTTTCTTCAATGAAATTTTTTATGAGAAAGATTAATTCAGTTTAAACAAATTTTTCTTAGAATAGTTTTACATTTTTAAATCATTAAACATAATTTAAAAAAAAGACAGAAGTAGTAATTTAAAAAATTTTCATAAAAAAATTTATTCAATGATTTTTTAAGAAAGCTTTATTTTTATAATCTTTAACCAAATTTTATGAATAAAAAAAAATATATTTTGCTTGTTTAAAGAAATAATCACATTAAAAACTATCGAAAAAAACCTGTTTTTTTTTTTTTTAATAATTAATTTTTTTATTTATTAATTTATACCATTAAAAAGATTAATTATATTTTTTTTTGAAATCGTTTTAGGTAAAATATAAATATATTCAAGTTTAAAATTATTAAATCAACATAACTATTAGAATGATTAAATTAAATTATCAATACCGATATTAATATTTTTTTTTTGAATATAAATATGGTTTTATATTCAAATATTATTAAAATTATTTGATTAATTTAAAGTCTAATCAATTCTCATAATATATTAATTGAATAATCAAATATTTTTAGTATAATACTTAGTGTAAAAATATTGACATGTTTAATTATTTAAGAAGTTTATAAAAATATGAAAAAATATATAGTTGATGATTGGAAAATTATAAAGTAAGAAAGTAAAAAAAATATAAAGGATAATAAATAAGATTTATAGAAAATATAAAATTTATTAAAAAAAAAAAAAATATAAAATTAAATATTACATATATTTATTTATTTATTTATTTATTTATTTATTTATTTATTCTTTCATAATTAAAATTTATATAAATACATTTTATTATCATATCTTATAAAATAATATATTTATTAATTAAATCTTTTATTTAATAATTATTTTTTTCAATAAAATAAAAAAATATAAAGTACAATGATATATATATTTATATAAATATAATTAAAAATATATTTATTAAATTTATTTTTCTTTAATTATTATTTTAGCATTATTTTTATTTCAGATTTATTATTTTATATTTTTAAATTGATATAATTAATTTTTTACCTTTTTAATAAATGTATTACATTTAATATGTTTAGTATTAAAATGTTTAATATTAATTAATTTATTTTTATAATATGTCTCTGATTATTTTACTAATAAAAATACTATAATTCATATATACAGATATACATATTAATTAGATCTTTTAACCATTGAATGTGATAATAGAGTCGATGATATATGTAGAGAATTATAACTTGAAGTTAGAATTGATATAAGTAATTTAAAAACTGAATTAAGTGTTAAATTAATTGAAAAGGCGCCTTAAATAATCAATATAAGATTTTATATTGAAACTGAATTATTTAGAAAATTACTTATTTCATTATAATCTACTAATATATATGATGATTAATCTTCTGTAACTCATACCTCAAGTTTTGTTTTATTAAATAAAATTGTCGCTGATTTTGATGCTAAACACAATTTCTATGTTAAAAATACAAATAAGAAAATTCACTTTTTTATGAATTCGTCGATATCTTCTTTAAAAGAGCCTCTTGTATGGGTAAGAATTTAAGATAATTTATATAGTGGTAATATTAAAATTAATGGACAAGAGAAACTGATACTTATGTCTAAAGAGATGCTTATAAATTCGCTAATAATGTTAAAAATTAAGTAGAATTTCGATTTAATACAAATAAAATATATTATTTATTATATTTTTCGAAAAATTGAAAATTTTGTTTATAATGATGATAGTATTTTTTTTTTAATTAATTTATTACTATTAATATTGTTAATGCTAATTTTTATTTTAAATATGTTTTTATTAATTGCTTGTTTAACTGATATTTATTGTAATAATTAATTATAAAAACTAATAAAAAAATTATATTTAGTTTTTAAATAATAATATTTTTATTGTTTTAAAAACAATTTATATTAAATTTGATTTTTTATTAAAAATGTATTTAAGACATCCTTCTAAATTTTATTTTTATTGTGATATTTATTATATAGATTAAATAAAAAAATATTTTAAAAACAAAGTTGAATAAAGTATATAAAAAAAATGTTATAAAATTAATTAATATAAATTTTTAGTGAATATAAAATAGTTTTTTAAAAAAATATAAATATTTAATTATAATTTTTTCATAAAATTATTATAATTGCTTAAACTTTCTAAATATTATTTTTTTATTAAAAAATATCTAACTTAGCTTTTTTTAAGTTTTACTTCATATTCTTTACTATTAATATCCTTAAAAATATGATATAGCCTTTTATGTTTCCTAAAAAAAATTAAACTTTTTTTTTATTTAATATTTTATTCTCAAATTTTTTACATTACTTTTATCATCGCATTAATCTTTAAATGTTTGATTCATCTAAAAATATTTCTATATTAAGAATTAGATTCATATTTTGTGGCATTATAATTTTTTTTCTTCGAGGTTCAATTAATTTGATTTGTAATCATTTCCATAAGTAGTTTAAGGCAAAAAAGCCATATATTAATTTTTTATTTATTAAAAATAAACTAATATTTATCTTGTTAGATTTACTTAAAATGTTTCTTTAATTTATTATTGATTTGAATTATCTGTTAAATTTTTTGATTTATATTTATATTTATTTTTGTTTTTATTTTTTTATGCTAATATTTCTTCAATATCATTGCATATAATTTTAGGTTTTTATTATAAAAATTAGTTGAAACACAAGAAAATTTTTAAGAAATTCTTCTCCCTTTATAATATAAACTTTTTCTAAAAATATCTATAAATTATCCCATTATTGGTTATTATTATTTTCTGATTTTTTTAATTTAAAAAGAAATCATTTTTCTGTTTTTTTATAAGTAATATTTTAATTTTGATTTTATTAAAATTTAATATTAATTTTATTTTTATATTTAATATAATCATAAAAAAATTAATATTTATCTTATATGATATAAAAAATATTATTATATAAAATAAATTTTAATTTAATATAAAAATAAAATTATAAATTTTTTCAGATATTTATTATTCATCTTTTATGTATTATAAAATTTATATTTTAGTCTAGATAAATAGTTGATGATAATTTTTAAAATAAAATTATTATTTTATTTGTAACTTATAAAAAGCATATATTTTTTAGTCAGCAATATTATATAACAAATTAAAAATATTAATACCGATTTTTAGTAATAATATAAAGTAAAAAGTAATAATATTTGCAACTAAAACAAATGTAAATCTAACATTTTAATCATTAATTAAATGAACAATAATTATCTTAAAATTATCACGTTTAAAATTAAAGAGTAGCTTCAAAACCAATTGAAGATTTGAGAAATAATTAATAAAGCTCTACATAATATTCGGTTTAAAATATTAATCATTAACCATAGTAATATACAGAATATTAATAAGCAATTTAGAATGATAACTATGAAAAATAAATTCAACCATTTGATTAATAATAAATTGTATATAGGAATAATTTATCTTCAAATACAATAAGTAATACAGAACTTAGAAGAAGATATCCATATAGTAATTTCGATAAGAAAAATGAATGGATCGGAGTAGAAAGACACTTAGCAGAGGTTAATGAAGAAATAAAAAATAACGAATGGGAAATAAATCATTTACGCCAAAAAGAATTATTGTTTATTAAAAATATTTTTTAAATAAAATTATTTTTTAAATAAATAGATCGGAATTAGAAAAGAAAGCAATGTGGTAGCTTTAATAAAAACAAGCTGAGCTAAGAAATAAAAAAAGTGAACATGAAGATAACTTAAAGAAATTAGCTGCATTTTAAGAAGAAGAATCAAAAAATAAAAGTGATATGAAAATGCTTTAATAAAACATGGCGCAATACTATAATAAATAATAAGATGAATAAGCAAGAAAGAAAATGAACATAAAATTTAATAAAAAGATTGGGAAAACAAAGTTTCTTTTTTTTTTTTTTTATTTTATTTTTTTAAGTTTTTAGATTCTAATAAGGAAAGAATGAATGAAGAATTTAGAAAAAATTAAGAACATAAAGTTTTTATTATAAGATTATATCATATATATTTATTAATAAAATAGGAATATTTAAAAAATTCTATTTTAAGCGATATTGATAGAGCTGCAATAAAAAAATAAAACGAAAAGTAAAACCAAATATAAAATTAGATGGAGTATAATGATTTAATTTAAATGAATGCAGAAAGAGAATTAACTAAAGAAGAAAATTATAAAAATGTAAAAAATAAATATAAAAAAGGGGATATATTAATTTACAAATTTAGTTTTATAAACTTGCTGCTGAAAACTAATAAAAATTACATGAAAATCATTTTAATAATGTTTTTCTTCCTTTGACAAATAAACTTAAAGAATTTGAAAATAAAATTACAAACGATATGAATGAAGCTCAAAAAAAATAAATATAAGCTGAAATCGAAAAACTAAAAAGATAAAAATAGGTTCAAATAATATTATATAATTATTTTTTAATAAAATATTATATATTAATTATTTAAATTAGTTGTTATTAGAAAATAAATATAATAATTAAAACTTAATTATTTAAAAAAGATATTAATAAGAATTAGAAAAACAAAATAAAGAATAATAAGCTAAAGAAAGATAGGATGATGTAAAAAAATATAAAAATATATATAAATAAAAAAAATCAAATAAATAAAATAATTTAATTAACATAAAATAAATAAAATTATTTATTATATTTTCAAATTAAAAAAAAAAAATTTAATTTTTAGCTTAATAACCTTTATTAATATGAAATGTTTAAACAAAAAGAAGAAATGGATAAAAAATTAAAATATAGAGAATATCTTGATAAATAATATAAAGAAAAATAAATAATATTATAAAACGAAGAAAGAATGACTAGAAACGAAAAAAGTTTGAATAGACTAGATTTATAAGTAAATTTTTATTTATTTTTAATTATTTATATAAAAAAAAGGCTTATAAAATATAAGATGGAGGTCTATATGCTATGATCCCTGGATGGTAACCTCAAATAGGATAATTACCTCCTCGTCAAAACAAAGAGGTCTTGTAAGAATAAACTTTAGATAGATAAAAAAAGTAATAAGGTATATTTAATAGTGATGAAACATAATCATAACAAAGAAGTCCAATTATTCTTGGAAAGCAAAGTGGCACTTTAATAAAATCTGCGTTAAATAATTTAGTGTAATAAAGTAATCAAAATTTAGGTTAATATTAAAAGATTGGAGAAAAAAATAATAAATATTAAAATCCTATTAATTATGGTCATTCATTAGATAATATAATGATGGAGTAAAAGAGGAAAAACAATTAACTATAGTATGGTCATAATCCTATATTAAATCCTATACCATTTAACAATCAAAATCCTTATTTAAGCAAAGAATTTGTGAGGATATAAGCTTAAATATAAAATACTAATAAATAATTATAAATATGATAATAAAAAAAAATATATTAAAATAATAATATATTAAATATAAATATAAATTATTATAATATATATTTAATATAAAATAGTAAAATAATTTATATAAAGATATAAAAAAAAAAATATTAAAAATTATGATTAAATAACAATATAAATAAGTTGATAAAATAACAAAAGAAATAATAAAAATATAATTACACAAATAATTTAAAATAAAAATTTATAAATAAAAAAGAATAAAACAAAATGATAAAAATATAATAATAATAATAATAATTATATTAAGAAAAATAATTATAATAATAATAATATAACAAAAATTATAATTATAATACAATATAAATAATTACATAATTATATTATTAATAATATCAATAATTATAATAATAATAAAAATTATTATAATTAAAATATTCATATTATTTATTTGATTATTAATAATATTAATTTTTTATTTTTATTTTCCAATTTTTTAAAAAAGTTTACTAACATCTAATTTGTTTTATATTAATTAATAATAAAAAGATTATTTATTTATTTTTTAATCATATAAAATTAAATTAAATATACTTATTTTCTTACAAAATATTTTATATATTTAATTTAATTTGATAAAAAAATGTTTAGGATTTTTAAAATATAAATCTTTTAATTTAAAGTAATTTAAAGCAATTAAATTAAATATGATTTTTGTTAAAATCAATAAGAAAACCTAAAAAAGAATGCTTTGAAAATAGTTCCTCTTTAAAATTGGAAAGATGAATTCTTAACATAAAAAGAACTTTAAATAACTCCAACTAAACATTTATTGTTTTTTTCATAAACTCCTTTATTTCCATATTAAAAAATTCCTTGTGATATAAATGTAAGAAATCTTAAATAAATAGATTATGATTTAGCATATTTTGTATAAGAAGATAGCAATAGTATATATTAAATAGGTTTATAAATAGATAAGATAGTAAAAAAAATTCTCGAATAATAATTATACATGAATTTACAAACAAATTTCGATAAAATCACATTAGAATTACATTCAAAAAAACTATAATATAGAGTAAAAATAATAGAATTATAAATAACAGAATAAGGAACATTTGCATTTACAATACCTTATAAAGATAATCAAGAATTAATGGAAAATTTGACTAAATTTAATTATGAAAAAGAGCTTTTTATAATAAGGCATTTATTTACTTTGATCAAAAAATAATTAGCTTATGAAAAAATAGAGCTCTCAGGTTAGTTTGATATTTTAAATGCCGAAATTCTTAGCAAGATTAATACTGAAGAAATCGATAAATTATTATTTTAAGTATTTTTTAATTTTCTTTTTATAAATAAATATTTTATATAATATTTACAGGTTTTAAAAGCAACATATTTTATTTTTTAAAATATCTTTAAATAAAATATTATGATTGTCATATAAAAAATACTTGAAACATAAAATTTAATTGAAAGAATCCTTTTTGTTCGATAACATTTAGAATCAATACATGAAATAATGGATATGGTAAATAAAAACTTTAAACAAGTCGACGATTCTCTAATGAGAATGCAATTTTAAGCAAGAGCCAAATACGCGACTGAATTCATCCGTTAATTTTATTTAGGAGAAAAAGCACAATTTTAAAATTCCTCTGCAGGAACTTATAATACAGGAGAAAATAATAATATGGGAGGAAACCAAAAAATTATAAAAGGTTATTTAGAAAAGCTTATTTTAATAGAAGAAGAAGCTTCAAGAGAAAAAATAAGATTAGAAATATAAAGGTTTGCCTAAATGGATAAGAACTCAAATGAATATTCAAAAGTAAACACATATCTTGATGAAGTATTTAATGTTCCTTGGTAAAAATATACACCACCATATTGGGATATAAATTATGCTTAACAAGTATTAAAAGAGGAAATTTACGGTTTATAGAAAGTTAAAGAAAGAATAATATAAATGATTGCTATTAATTAAATAAGAAACTGCTAGTTAAAAAGTAAAGGTTTTGTTCTTCTTCTTTAAGGACCTCCAGGTACAGGGAAAACTTCCATAGCAAAAACAATAGCAAAAGCATTAAAGAAAGAAAGCAGATTTATTAGTTTTGCCGGTATTTCTGATAAGTCTTTTTTTAAAGGACATAAAAGAACTTATATAGATTCTTAACCAGGAATTTTTATTAAAGAACTTATCAAAGCCTAGACTATGAATCCAGTATTTATTTTAGATGAAGTTGATAAAATTAGTAGATCTAAGTATTTATTTTATTTAATATAGGTTTTTATTTTATTTTTTTAAAAAGTTCAGGTGCAGATCCTTATTATAGTCTTTTGGAAATACTTAATCCGGAAGAAAATGGCAATTTCTAAGATCATTATCTTGATATAAAAGTAGACTTTTCAAATGTTATTTTTATCTTAACTTCTAATAATCTACTTAATATACTCCAACCACTCAAAAATAGATTAGAAATTATCGAAATTCCACCCTACATAGAAGAAGAAAAAATTTAAATTGCCCAAAATTATATTTTCCCAAAAGTTCTTTTAGAACATGGGTTAAAACCAGATTTTCTTCTATATAATACTGATTTTATATCTTATTTAATCAAAAGTAAATACTTTATAAAAAATAAAATTATAATAATAAAAAAGATTGGTGTTATGATGAGCCTGGAGTTAGAGGATTAAAAAGATTATTTGAAACTATATGTAGAAAATACGTAGTAACACTTGTAGAAAAATATGGTGAAAAAATAAAAAAGGAAGGCGAAATATATGAATTAGATGAATAAATGATAAAAAATAAAGAAATAGAAATCCTTGATTTAAAAAAAATAAAAGAAATTTAAGATATACTACTATAATATTTAGGCCCTCCAACTTTTGATAATGAAAAAAATTAAAGAATTCATCAAAAATTTATGCCTGGAGCTATAAATATTTTAAGTGTAGCTGGATTTGTGGGAGAAGTCTTAAAATTAGAATGTGTTTTTTTCAACGATTTTTCTGATAAAGAAACAAAGGGAGTTTTTACAGCTACAGGTAATATTTAATAGGTCCTATAGGAATCTTTAAAAATCGCAAAAATAAATGCTTTTTAATACTTGAATGAGGAATAGTAAAAAAGTCTTGAGAAAAATAATATTCATGTTCATTTCTTAAATGCAGCTACTCCTAAAGATGGTCCTTCAGCTGGTACTGCTATTTGTACTTCAATTATTTCACTCATTTCAGGATTTTAAATACCAGCTACTTTAGCTATGACAGGAGAATTAGGATTACTAGGCGATGTTTGTAAAATCGGGGGACTTTAGGCTAAAATTATTGGAGCGAAAAGTGTTGGTATTGATTAAATTATAAGTCCTTATGCAAATATTAACGATTGTATGGAATTTCCCAAAGAACTTTTGGAAGACATTAGTATTTATTTTGTTAAAGAATATAAATAAATTTATTAAATTGTTTTCTAAAATAATTCTGATGGAATTATAACTTTAAAAAACGGAGATTTTGTTAACAATATAATAAGTTATAATGCTAATAATTTAGATAAATCATAATAATAAAATATTTCTTATTGATTTTTATAATCTAAATTTTATAATATAATACTTATAATATTTTTATTAAATAAAATTATTATTTATGTATGAATTTATTTGTTAATTAATAATATTTTATTATTATATTTTTATTAATTCTATCATTTTTACTTATTTCTTAATCTTTATTTTGATAAAATTTCGTAGTTCTTTATAACTTTAAGCTCCTTTTTTGGGCTTTTTTATTTTATTATTCTAGTTTTATTTATTTATAATTCATCTTTATTTTACTATTTAAAGTATCCAAATATTATTATTTAAATTAAGGATGAAGAATTTTAACTGCATTTTTTTTTAACTCATTAATAAGCTTTCCATGTAAATTATTTTATACTTGTAAACTTAGTAATAAAGTTTTAAAAAACCTATGAGGCATTAATTCTTTATTTAATAAATTATGGACATTTGTTAGTAATTTATATATTATGTTTAAATCTGTATTTGATCTTAAAGTTCTATAAACCGCTCTTATTATTTCGAAAGTTTCTTAATCTACAAACTCATGTTTAAAAAATACTGAAGATATATCGCTTAAATCTTATAAATTACATTAAAGTTTTTTTAATTTAAATTATTATCTACATGCATTTAAAATTAACTCATCTGCTAAATTAAATTTGTCTAAACTAATTAATAAGTGAGACATTTCCTTTTTTAAAATATAGAATATATATTTTTTTTTTTAAATACCTATATATTGTAGTTTTCAGGATTTTTTAAAAATTATTCGCTACAAATTTTAAATAAATCTTAACAATTATAATCATTCAAAGCAAAAGTATATAAAATACTCGTTTATGCTCTAGTAGTGAAATTAAAGAATACATCTTTTACAAAATGATTTAAAATTTCAAGGAATTCTTTTGAAATATTCTAACTTTTAGAAAATCCTTACAAAATTTAAGAAAAATCTTTTTCTAAATTTTAAATTTAAATTTGTGATTTTTTTTCAACTAATTAACATCTTAATTTTAATGCTAATTAAACTGAAATTTTTCCATATAAATTAGAAAAATCATGCTCAGTTTAAGATCTTGAAATATTAGAAAAAGCAAAAGCAAAATTAGATAAGGAAGTAAGTGTTAATTAAGGTAAATTTTAGATTATATAATTCTCTACTTTTTAATAAGGGAAAATTTCTTTGTAATTAATTTTATATAAATTCATTGAAAAAGATGTGACATTTTCTTAATTTTCCAATATATCTAAATTATTTGATATGTTTTCAATAATTTTATAAAAATTTTATGTTTAGTATGTATTTATTAATCTATGCTTTCTTGAGTAGGTCCATATATTATTTAAGGCTATTACATATTACTAATTTTCTATTATTTATTCATTATTCACTATTTCATTTATGGTTTTCAAAGTTAATTATTTTATAATACTATAATATTCTTAACTGTTGTTTAGTTTTTTTATAATTTCTAATTAACTTAATCCTTAAAGTTCATTTTTTTTAATTTCTTATTTTTTACTTAATTATTATATTTCTAGTATTTTTTCTTTGTCCTGCTTTTTTATCTGTTTGATTTCAGTCTTTTATATTTATTTAATTGGTTTTAATTAATAATACTGCTTTTATAAATTCTATTCAATTTTACTAAATTGTTTTTTCGAGTCAACTTCAAAAGGAGAATCATTTATTTTTGAAAATAAATATTAACTATGCTTTTTAAATTAGTTTGTGAAACTTGCAATTTATTTTAACATTTATATTAAAGGATATTTATGAATAATGTTATACTTTTACTTGCTTTATATATTTATAAATAAATTAAAGATTAATTTAGTATAGGTTATAAATAATAATTTATATTTTTTTAAATATATAATTGAATTCTTAATATAAAATAAAATTTGATAAAAAAAGAAAAATATGTATATTATATATATTAAAAAAATAGATATTTAATCTATAAATGTATTTATGCATTTTTATTAATACATATATATAATATATTATTTATAGCAATTATTGCTTCCAAATTAAAAAAATAATAATATAAAAAACACAGGATATTTTATTTTTATAATAGTTAATAATGCCATAATTGTATATATAAATAAATATTTTAAAAAAAATATTTTTAAATTATTCTATCTTTGCAAAATAAAAAAAATAAAAAATAAAAAATTATTTTAATTTTTCTTCACTAGATCTTTGTCTTAAATCCACCTTCTTAAATGAAAAGTGGTATAGCTGTTTTAAGTTCAGCAACATCACCGTCTTTCAAATCTCCAGTTTCTCTGATTCTTTATAAGAGAGAAGCATGGTTACTTCTTATATGTTCAAGGAATTTACTTTCAAAGTGACGGATTTCGAAAGTTTAAAGATTGTCCAAATAGCCATTGACACCAGCAAATATAACACAGACTTATTCTTCAGCTTTCATAGGTTAATATTATTTTTATTTCAATAATTCAGTAAGTTTTTCACCTCTATTCAATTCAGATTAGGTGTGGGCATCTAAATCAGAACTAAAAAATTAAAAATTAAAATAAAAAATAAAAAGAATCAAATAAAAACCCAAATTAAGCAAAAGCAGCTAATTCTCTATATTAAGCAAGTCTGTTTTTCAATGAACCAGCGACTTTTTTCATAGCTTTAATTTAAGCAGCAGATCCGACTCTAGATACAGAAAGACCTACATTAATAGCTGGTCTAATACCTTTGTAGAAAAGTTCAGTTTCTAAGAAAATTTATCCATCAGTAATCGAAATGACATTAGTGGGAATATAAGCAGAAACGTCACCAGCTTATGTTTCTATAACAGGTAGAGCAGTAAGAGAACCAGCACCATGAGTTTTATTCATCTTAGCAGCTCTTTCAAGTAAACGAGAATGCAAATAAAAAACATCACCAGGATATGCTTCTCTACCAGGGGGTCTTCTTAAAAGAAGAGACATTTGTCTGTAAGCGACAGCTTATTTCGATAAATCATCATATATAATTAAAGCATGTTTACCATTATCTCTGAAATATTCACCGATTGCGCAACCTGAATATGGTGCCTTTTAATATATTATAAAAAATCATAAATTTAATTTATTATTTTACCAAAAATTGTAAGGGAGCAGCATCAGAAGCAGTAGCGCAAATTACAATAGTAAATTTCATACAGTCGTGTTATTTTAAGGTTCCAACCAAGTTAGCAACTGTTGAACGTTTTTGACCAATAGCAACATAAATGCAATATAATTATTTGTTAACATCTCCAGTATTAAATGCTTCCTTTTAATTCAAAATAGTATCAATTGCAACAGCTGTTTTACCAGTTTATCTATCACCTTTTAAAATTATTTTTTATATTATTAAAAATAAAAAAAAGGAAAATTAAATACCAATAATAAGTTCTCTCTATCCTCTTCCGATAGGTACTAAAGAATCTACACATTTAATACCTGTTTGCATAGGTTCGTTAACAGATTATCTAGGAATAATACCAGGTGCTTTAACTTCAACTCTTGCTCTTTCAGAGCCTTTAATAGGGCCAGCACCGTCAATAGGATTACTATAATATATTTTTTTAATATTAATAAATTATAAGTGTTATATATATTATATATATATATATATATTTATATATATATATATATATATATATATATATTTATTCAAATATATAGATTTAAATACATTAATATATATAGATATTTAAATAAATATATATATTGTATTAATATATTATTTCATAAGAATATAGATATAAATATAAATATTTTTTTATTTACATATATTTTTTTAAATTTTAAAATATTAATATATAAAAATATTTACATATACATATGTTTATATATTAAAATTTTTTATGTTTTTATATATATATATATTATATTTCTTTTTATATACCCTAATGCGTCAAGTACTCTTCCACACATAGCTTCACCTATTGGTACATCTACAATTGCTCCAGTTCTTTTGACAACATCACCTTCTTTTATTTCTCTATATTATTTTAATTATTTAATTTAAAGCAATTATTATATATTATGTATTTTCATACCTATCATTACCCAAAACCACAATACCTACATTGTCAGTTTCTAAGTTAAGTGCCATACCTCTCACACCACTTTTAAATTCAACCATCTCTCCAGCTTGTACTTTTGTTAAACCAAATACTCTTGCAATACCATCACCAATAGATATAACTGTACCATATTCTGTGATATCATTCTTCATTTTTCAAATTAATTTTAATTTTTTTGAAAATTTGAATTAATTATTTTTTCAATTATAAAATTATTTTGAAAAATTAAATATAAATTTTTTATTTTTATTTACTTGTTATGCTATTCCTTTAATTTTTTCGGCAAGAACTACTGAAGCTTCGCCTGTGCTCAATTTTTTATTTAATAAATTATTTGAAGTTCTAAAGAAATAGTTAGGAGCATATTAAAATTTGGAATCGGATAATAAACTTGTAAATCTTCTAATCATTTTATTTTTATATATATTAAAATATTTTTTTTTTTAATTTAATTATATAAATATAAGATTTTTTTAAAAAAAAAATTAATTATAAATAAAAAAAATTTTCCTTAAATATTTTATAAAATATATTTTTTATTTTTATAATTTTATTTAAATATGTATTATATAATTATATAATATTTATAAATTATATAATTTTTATTTTTTAATTTTCTTTCTTTTATTTATTTAATTTAATTTTTTTTATTTGTATACTATTAATTTTAATTTAATAATTTTTATCGTAATTATAAAATTTATAAAATATTTATTTTTATCTTATAAATAAATATATATTATTTTTAATCTTATATTTATATATATATATATATATTTTAATATAATTAATTTAATCATTTTTAAATATAAATTTTTTTAAAGACTTAATTTTTAAAGAACATTTTAATATAAATTTTAAATATACATTTTTTTATTAATCTATAATATCTTTTACTAAAATATAATTAATTTGTATTTTCTAAAAAAGCGGCTATTTTGTATAATTTAAAAAAATATTATTTTAAATTAAAATTAAAAAATTAAGCAATGTTCATTAATTCTTTAATTTTATTTTGTGTATTAATTAATTTTTTTTGTAATTATTAATATTTTCACTTATATTTTATATTTAGAAATCGTATTAATTCTTTATTATATTTAGATTAGATGATTACTTTTTAATTTATTTTGATTTTACTAATTAATTATATTCTTTATATTTTATTATTATAAACTAAATTAAATTAATATCTTAAAGTAGTAAAACTAATTTAAAACATACTAAACTTTAATGATTATAAAATCTATTATATTTAATAGGAAATTTTGTATATATAATCCAATTAATAATTATTTAATTACATATCATAATTTAATATCTGATTTTTATTAATTGCTTAAAAATTTCTATTTTTAACTAAACTAATATTATTATAAAAGTATTTATATAATTTTTAATATAAATAATTAAAAATTAAAATTGTAAATTATGTTTTATAATTATTTTAATTTCGCTTTATATTTAATATCTGAAACAAATAAAATTAATATAAAAAAAAAATCATTCATTTGTTTATTAAAATATATCTAAATTAAATTAAAAAATATTAAAATTTTAATTATTATTAGTAAATAGATTTTTTAAAATAAAAACATAAAAAAACAATTAATTTATTTAAAGTTTTTTTAAATTATTATTAATTAAGATTGTCATTGTTTTTTGAAACTAAAGATAAAAAATTCATTAAAATCTAAGATTTTTTTGTTTAGAAAAAAAAAGGATAATAAAAATATATTTAAATATAAAGTATCAAAACTTTAAATTTATAATTATAATAAATTATATTTATAAATTGATTTCATAAGTATAAAAAAAAAAATATATAAAATTCTTAATTATAATATAGTGTTAAACTTAATAGAATATTTTAAATAAAATATTTTTTAAAAAAAAAATTACATTAATTTGAAAATATAAAAATAAAAAATTAAAATATATATATTTTATAAATTTCATATAATTATTAGAAATAAAAATATATATATATATATATATATATATTATATATATATATATACATATATATATATATATATATATATATTTTTTTATTTTATTATATTTAAAGAATAATTTTTTTTTATATTTTTGTTTTCATTTTTTCTTTTTTTCTTCCTGTGTTTTTTTTTTCATATCTTTTGCTTCTTTTTTAACATTTTTTTTTTCTTCTACAATAATCGTTTTCGATTCTTTAGCCCCTCCAGCCCCAGTTTTTTTATATATTTATAAAACATCTTCATCAGTTAAAGGATGATTTAGTCCAACTTTTTAAGGCATAAACTTTGTACTTTTACCCCATACCATTCCAAAATTAAAATCTTTAACTAAATCTCTATGTATCTATTCAACTGCTGATTTAACTGTACACCCATTTCTTCCTTAAGTAAGAATAAGAGGATCTCCTAAATCCGGAAAATAGCCTTTTTTTTTCGTGTATACTCTAATAAGCCCAAGCATTTCCCATATTTTTTCTAATAAATAATCGAAATTTAGTTTATACTAACATGAAATAACCACATTATTAGCTTATCTTGCTATAAGATCGACTTCTTCTATAGAAATAGTATCTATTTTATTATATACATAAAGACATTTTACATATTTTCTGTTTCCTTCAATACTATCTATAATATCATCAATTGTAACATCTTGTCTACATAGAATAGTAGCATTATGTATTTTATATTCTTAAAAGATGTTTTTTACGGCTTTTTCATCTATTCTCGTTAATTAACAAGTTGATATTAATTTTACTCCTCCGGTTTTATTTATTGTTACAGTTATATCAGGTTTTTCTTAATTTAAACGAATTCCTACTTTTTCTAATTCGTGTGTTAGTTTTTATTTATGTTCTTCACTTTTAGATGCTTCTAGTACCATTAATACTAAATCTGAAGCCTTTGCTACTGCTATTACTTAACGACCTCTTCCTCTTCCATCAGCAGCGCCTTCTATAATACCAGGAAGATCCAAAAGTTGTATCTTTGTGTCTCTGTAATGAATAACTCCGGGAATACAAGTTAATGTTGTAAATTCATAGGCTGCGGCTAAACTTTCAGTGTCTGTAATTGAATTCAATAATGTTGATTTACCTACTGATGGAAAACCTATCATACATACACGGGCATTACCATATTTTTAAACTTCGAAACCTTCACCTTTGGGACCTTTTGATGTTGGCTCAAGAAGCTCAGTACGATATTTTGCTAATTTTGCTTTTAGTAAACCTAAGTGATATTCTGTAGCCTTATTCTTTTGGGTTCTGGCCATTTCTTCTTCTATATCTTTTATTTTTTCGAGAACACCCATTTTTTTTTTTTACTTAATTTTGTCTTTTTTTCTTCTTATATAAATAATATATTTTAAGTTTCTATTTAGATATATTATAAAATTTATATTTGCTTTTTAATTATTTGATCTTCATATACTTTTTTAATGTATATAATTGATTATTTTAATTAATAATAAATTAATTATATATTAATAATAATTTAAATATATTTAAATTATAAATAAAAATAGTGTTTATTATATTTATACTAATTTTATTTATATTAATTAAAAATTCATATGAATATAAAAAATCAAAGTGTTTCATTAAATTTATTATATATAAATTAAAATAGTTTATGTAAAATAATTTAAAATTAAATATGATATTTTTAATATTATATTTAAAAATTAATATTAATTTAAAAAAAAATATTAATTTTTAATTTAAATTATTTTTATATTATTTATCTATTAAATGAAAGAGTTTATATAAATATTTTAAATTTATATAAGTAAAATCAATTTATAAAGGAAATTAATATTTATTATATGGTTAAATATAATTTAGATTTAATATTTCTAAATCTAAAAATAATAATATGCACCATAACAAATATGACTAATAAATAGTATAATTATAAAAATGAAAAAAAGTTAATTAAATAAACTATTAAAAAAAAATCTAATAAAGTAACAGATAGGAATATTTAAATTAATATATATAAATTAATTAAACAGAAATAAAATAAAATAAATAAAAAGTTTTTAAATAAATAAAATAAATAATAAACTACAATAAAAATAAATAAATTAAAGGGTATTAATTATAAATTAAATAATAGTAATATTTTAATATAAAAATATATTTTCAATATTATAATGTGTATAAAATAAATAAATAATACGATTATAAATACAAATCGATAAATATTTAAAAATAAGATTAAATTTAATTATTATCACGAAGATTACATGTTTAAATACATATTATATAAACACATTTATTTTAAAGTTGCTTAATTTATAACTTTAAAATCAAAAAAAAACCTTATCTAAAATAAATTTAATAAGATTTAGAAATAGAATAAAAAAAAAATTAAATAAAGTATAAAAAATAAAATTTCAAAAGGACAAAATATCAAGACTTTAAAAATTAATAACTTAAACGTTAAAAATAATATAATAAAAATAATATAGAAATGAAAATATATATTTTATATAATATTAATAAAAATTATAATAATAATAAATATATTGGAAAAAAAAAAAAAAACATAAAGAAAATTAATGATAAATAAAAGCTATAAATTAAAAAAATACTAATATTTTTATAAATAAATAAATAAAAATATAACTAATAGCAAAGCATGAATAAAAAAATAATGTATATTATTTAATATGTTTATATATTAAAATAATAATTTATTAATATAAAAAACTATATAATTTTATTTATTATAATAATTTTTTTTTAAAAAAAGAATAAAATAGTTATTAAATAAAAAAATTAAAATATAATAAAAATAATATCTATTACAAAAAAAATAAAATTAGAAATAAAATAAATATAATGACAAATACCTTTAATTATGATTTAAATAAAAAAAAATTAAAGAAAAAAGATATAAAAAATATTAATAATAAATTCATAAAAATAAAAATTAATAAATTATTAATTAAAAAAATAAAAAACAAAAATAATTTAAAAATATAATAAAAAAATAAATATGTAAAATTATATATGTATATAAATATATATTAATATAAAATAAAAAATATAATTATATATATATAAATATAAAATTTTTTTTTTTTTTAATCTAATAATTTTTTTTTTTTTTTTAAATTTAATTTTTAAAAATATATTTACTTAAAAATTCATTTTTTTAAAAATTTTATATTATTTCTTAATTATATATTCTCTTTAATTTTTATATTTTAATATTTAATCTTAATTTATTTTATAAAATTAAAATAAAAATATATTATAGAATATTTTTTTTTTTATTTATTAATAAAATTTATAGAAAAATTAATAAAATATATATATTTTTTTTAATTTTAATTATATTATTTATAGCCTGAATAAATTTTATTTATTAGGATTATATATTCTTTTAAACTAAAAATGCTTTAAAATATTTTAATTCATAATAAAAATTTTAAATATTTATTTATATTTTTATTTATTATAATTTTTATGTTTAGTTTATTTTTATATTATATATATATACCATATAAATTAAATTTTTTTAAAATATTTAAAAATTTACCGTTTCCAATAGTGTTTATAATACCAATTCAGAAAAAAAAAATATTTTAAAGTTTTGAAGAAGAATAATATTTATTAATAATTTTTTTATATAATTTTTTTTACACATATATTATTTATTTTAATATTAATTTTTAATAAAAGTAATTTATAAATATAATTACTTTAAAAAAAATTTTGTATAAATTCACTGAAGCATATATATGGTTTATATATATATATATATTTTTTTTTTCAGTTTTATAAAGTTTTTTTTTAATTTTTTTCTAAAACGAATAGTTTTACTTATATCAATTTATTAATTTATTTTTATATTTATTGTAAAAAAAACATTTAAAAACGCCTCCTTAAAGTTATAAATAAAAATAAAGAAAAAAAAAAAAAGATAATTCAAAAAAAGAAATTATTAAATAATAAAAAAATAAAAAACTCATATTACATTATAAAAAATATTAAAATGAATAAATAACTTTAAATCGTTTTTCTATGTTTGTCTATATTTTTAATTTGTCAAGCTACAGAAACATAAACAGAAACAGAAAGTTAAGATTTACACAAAACATTTGAAAAAGCCGTAAATAAATAAAAAATATATATATAAAAAATAATATTATATAAAGTTAGAAAATAATTAAAATCCGTCTGTTGAAAATTTATTGCAATTAAAAAATCTCAAAGGATAAGTATATTTAATTGATTAAATATATTAAAGTATATTAGAATTAAAAACTAATGTTGAAAATGATAAATAAGCTCTTAAAATTATGGTTAATAATGACAATTAAAAATCTTAAAGCAGTATTGAAGAAAAATCAGTAAAATTGAGAATATTGAATGGATAACTTGTTGTTTTATAATAAAAATTAATAGCTTTATAAGACGAAAGATTAAAAATAAGTAATATTTATACTTAAGATAATTAAAATTATATTGAAAGAAGAACTAAATAAACTGAATTATAAAATTATATTAATGAATTAATTATTTAAATAAATAACCTTAAATTTGAATAAATTGCATAAACTTTACTTTAAGAAAATGTTTTTGCTGAATTGAAAAACAAAGGAAAAGGAAACCCTATTTTTGCAATGGTTTAATTAGCAAAAATTTTCAATGAGGGTGATAGAGAAAAACTTTTTTAACACTTAAATGCTCTTAAAAATGCAGTCTAAGAAACATTAAGACTTGATTAAGAAAAAGAAAACTCGAATTTAAGTCTTTATTAAAATCTAACTAACAGTTTAGATAATATTCTTATTCCTACTACTATAAGACAAATAAAAGAAATCTAAGATTTAATTGTTATACTAGAAGCAGAAATAGCAAAGCTCAACGAAAGAATAAAAATAGTTAACAAAGAATAAGAATATGCTGATGGTTTAAGGTATTTTATTATAACTTTTGCATTTATTAATTTAATATTTTTATTAGGGATAGGGTACTTGGAAATACTAAATAAGCTCTTAGTCTAACTGAAACAAATAAAGAAAATTTATCAAAAGCAGAGATTATAATAACTAGAAAATGAAAGAAAAATAAAGAAAATATAATAAGAATAATAAATAAAATATTATATATTTTTATTTAGTCTTCTTTATAAATTACATATATTTTTAAAATATAAAAATAAAAATTTATAAAATATAAAAAAATATTAAAAATAATTTTTGATAATTAATTTTAATTAATTATTAATTTTTGTTATTTTTTATTAATATAAAATTTATATTAAATCTAATATAATCTTTTATAAAATATTAAAATAATAACATTTATACATTTTTATTTAATTTATTTTATTTTGATAATTATTTTTACTAATAAACTAAAAAGTAAATAATCTTTAATTTATTAAATAAAAAAAATTGAATATTATAAAATATATATAAATAAAAAAATATAGAAAAAAGATATATATAAATATATTAATATATATATATATATATATAGATATATATTTATTTATATATATATATATATATTTTATATATATTTTTTTATTTATTCTATTTTATATTATCTTATTTTTTTTACTTTTTTTTATTATTTATTTATAAATATCTTATTTTTTTTATTTAAAAATACTATTTTAGACGTTAAAAATTCTTTTATCTAAAATAATTTATTTTATTTTCTCATTTTTTTTTAATTTTTATTTTATTTTTTAAAGAATCTTTATTTTATTTCTATAATTCTTTTAAATTATTTTTATTTATAATATTATTTAATTTTATATTTATATATATTAAAAGATTTTTTTTTATTTTCTTCATTCTACATTTTAATTTTTTTTTTTATTTTTACAAAAGCCATTTAATTTATTACATAAGAAATTTTTAAAATATTTTTTACTAATTTAATACTATTCTTTTTATTTATATATTTTTAATTAGATATTATTTTTCGAATTATTTTTTTAAATAAAATCAGATTTATCTCTTTTTCTTTTTAAATTACATGAAATCAATTTTATTATTTTAGTTTATTTTTATTTAAGTCCTAAAAAATTTTATTTTTTTAATTTTATTTGCAATTGTTTTATTAACTATAAATATATTTTTATGTTTTGTATATTTTTATTTCAAAATCTTTATTTATTTAAGCTATTCTTATATTTATTGTTATCTTATTTAAATTTAAGATAAATAATTTTTTGTTTAATATTTTATTATTTTATTATGTAATACATATTTGATTTTTATTTATTTCTCCATAAAAAAAATATTGAAAATCGATTTTTTATTATGATTCTATAAGGATATGATTAAAATATATTAGAAAAAACATTTGGGAAAAGGAAGAGTATGGCAAAGTTTATAATAAATATTTTATATTTAATTTATTATTGATATAATTTTTTATTTTATTTCTAATAAACATATTTTTAATAAATATAAATTAAGTATCAAAAATATTTTAATTAAATAAAAAAAAAATAGAGGGAGAAATGAAATAAGTTATCAAATTTTTATATTTATTTTGCAATTTTATTTGAGTAACCTTAGCTAAGCGAAGACACGCGGGTATTAAAAAAAATTAATATTTTAATAAAAAACAATAAATATTTAATTTAAATTTGTTAAATAATAGTATAATTATTAAAAAAAAATATTTTATCAAATTATCCTAAAATTAATATGTTTTCTTATGCTTTCTATTTTCACCTAAAATAAAGTTTTTTTGATTATTATAATTAATATGAATATTTAATTTTAATTTTTTTTTACAAAACTGAAAGTTAGGTAAGTATAGGCATATATAAAAAGTATATATATTAATTTTAAATTATCATTTTCTTAAATAGTACTTTACCACATAAGTGTCAAATAATAATATTTAATATGAAAAAATAATCTAAAATAAAAATGTTATTGTTAAGAAATAATAAGAATTTATTATATGTATTTTTAAATATATAAAAAATAAATCATAGAATTAAAATATTATTCTTTTGTTTTATAAAATTTATATAAATAGTAATAAAAAATAATTACTTTAAAATTCTAATATAAAAAATCTCTTTTTTAATTCATATATGCAAATATTAAATAATAAAAATAAAATAAAAAATATTAAAATATTTGAATGCTATAATTAAATGGGATTTATATTATTATTAGTTTGTATTGTTTTTTTTTATCTGTAATTTTTTTTATAAACTCAATATATAAAAAAAAGTGAGAAAAAACAGATAGATAATATTAATTTTTTTGGATTGACTTTATAAAAAAATAAAGGAAAAATTAAAAAGCCATATAAAAATATATTTATTTTTAAAATTTTATAAAATGATTTTTAATAAATATAATGAAAAATAAAAAATAAAATATTTATGGGTGAATATAAAAAATATAAATATAATTTAATTTGTATAATAAAAATTAAGAAAATGTTACTATAATATAAAAAAAGAAGGGTTATTTATATGTATTAAATTAACTTTTTAATGGTAGTTCAATTTAAAATAAATTTAAATTGCTAATTTTTTGTTTTACGTTTTTAATACATTTATATATTTATTTATAGATTCTTAAAGAAATATATAACAATATACTTGATTTATTATAAAATTTTTCAAATAGTAATTTTAATTATATAATGATATTTATGTTAAAAAATTTATAAATTAAGTTTTTATTAAAAAAATAAGAAAACATTTACTATTTTCTTTATTTATAGAAAAAAATAAATAAAGAAAAATATGAAATAATATTAATCAGACTGGGTTTCTATTTTTCAATCGAATTTTAATATTTTGGTTGATTTTACCTTTTAGCTGACTATTTATAGTATAAAAATTAATTTTATAGCCAATAAACTATTTTATGATTGAACATTGTATTTTTTATAATATGAATATATTTATTAATAAGTCTAAATAAAAAAAAAATATTTAATGGGTAAGTAAACTAATAAATTTTTAATATACGGACGGAACAAAAAAAAAATTAAATAAAATATATTTATTAAATTATTTTTCATTAATTATATTTAGAAAATAAGATATTAATTATAATTACTATATTAATATAAATTGTATTTGTTTAATGTAAAATTTTTTATTAAAATTACCATACCTAATGAATTTAATATTTCTAATATATTTTGATTTTATATAAATCATTGATTTTTAATTTAAATTACGATTATTTATAATAAACTAAGCTTTTATACAAAATTTTGGCTTTTAAATCTTTTTTAGATTCAAATTCAATTTTTATTTTTGCCAAAAAATTTTGAATAAATTTAAAATCTTTTTTTATATAATATTCATATTTTAAAATATTAATTTTGTTATAAATTCATTAATATTTATAATTTTTTTTAAATATTAGACATGTGTCTATTTTAAGTAAAAATTAAGCTTTAAAGAATCTCTAAAATACTTGATAATATAAAAGAGAAATATAAATTATTTATTTGGTGTATAAATTTAAAATTTTATAATATAAAGGCGGATATCTATATTTAATTTTTTCTCTCTTTCTTAATATAATATATATTTTTTGAAAATATTTTATTTTATTTTTTAAAAAAATAAAAAAATATATATATATATAAAAAAAATGAGTAAAAGTGAATCGAGGAATTCAAGAAGTCCAAGGAATTCAAAAAGTCCGAGAAATTCAAGAAGTCCGAGAAATTCGAGAAGTGCAAAAAATTCAAGAAGTCCAAGAAATAAAGATAAATATAAAGATGAGTAAAGTAATTAGAAATTATTTTTAGGAAATTTATCCAAAGATGTAAATAAAAAATGCGAAAATAAATTAAAAAATATATATCTAAAATATTAATATATGTTTTATTTTTAAATAAAACAAATAAATAAAAACAGGCTAATGAAAGAGATTTGGAAAATCTTTTCATTAAATATGGAAAAATCCGTGAAATTAAAATAAAATCAAAAGGGGCCAATAATTATGGGTTTATAGAATTCGAGGATTAAAGAGATGCTAAAGATGCTTTAGAAGAGTAATAATATAAAGATATAAATAATTTATTTAAAAATAAAAGATGCAATAATTTAGAATTTAAAGGAAAATAATTAAGAATAGAATTTGGTCATGGAGGAAGAAGAAAAAGATTATAAAATTGTTATTATTGTGGGAGAAATAATCATAACATGAAAGATTGCAGAAAAAAATACGGAGATGGTATAATATTTAATATTTAAAAATTAATATATTAAATTATTTATTTTAATAATTAAAGGAAAACCTAAGTGCTATAAATGTGGATCAATAAATCATAAATTTAAAGATTGCAGGTAATATATATATAAAAAAAATAGTATAAGATTATGTTAAATATATTTATTAAAAATTAAGAAAAAGAAGTAGAACAAGATCAGAAAGTAGAAGAAAACAAAGATATTCACGATCTAATTCAAGAAGTAAAAATAAATTAATTTTAAAAATAAAAGATTATAAATTAATAAAAGAAGTAAATAAAAGATACGATGATAGAAATAAAAGAAATTCACGTTCTATTCAGTCTGATAAAAGAGTAAAAGATTAAAAATCAAATGAAAGGTATAAAATAAATAAATAAATAAATAAATAAATAAATAAATAAATATTAATAATTAAAAATTCAATAAAAAATTAAATTTATTTTTAAATATTTTTTTTTAATTTTAAATAAGATATAGAAGAAGAGATGATAGTAGTAGAAGAGATTATAATAGAAGAAGAGATGTTAGCAGAAGAAGAGATGATAGTAGAAGAAGAGATTATTATAGAAGAAAAGATAATAGTTCGATAAGAGATGATAGTAGAAAAAGAGATTCAAGTAGAAAAAGAGATTCAAGCCGAAGAAGAGATAATAGTAGAAGAAGGAGTATTGATAAAAAAAGAAATTTAAGTGTTAATAGAAATTATAAAAATAATAGAAGTATTTCCAAAGATAGAAAAAATAGCCTTAGTCGTAGTGATTAAAGAAATAATTTTAAAAGAAAAAACAAATCATTATCTTAAAATTCTCCAAATAAAAAATCAAAAAGCATTAATAAATAAAATAAAAATATAAATATTAATATTAGTAAGTCGAGAGAAAATTCTGTTTCGAATTGATCTATCATTTATTTTTTTATTTTTATTTTTTTACGAATTTTTTTTTATTTTATTTTTATTATTATGTTAATTATATTTATTATTTTTGTTTAATTTCTTATTTTCAAAATAAATAAATATAAATATTTCGATATATATATATATATATATTTTATATAAATTATTTAAATATTTTAATTTTTATTCTTTATATTATTTTATATAAAATTTTTAAAATATTTATTTTTTAAATATTTTTATTTAGTAAATAAGATTAATTTAATTTATATTATATAAATAATTTTTATATTTCAAATAAATTTAAAACACGTGTCATATTATATTATTAAAATTAAAACTTTTATTATTTTGTTTTTTTTATTTAAACTTATAATTGATTTTATAATTACAAAGATCTTTTTTAATTTAAATTTATTTATTATTTAATAAAATTTAATACTGTTCATAAAAATAAACCATAATTATTTAATTCTATAAAATATTTAGCAAACCTTAACAATAATTATTATTATAATACATTAAAAACTTTTATAAATTTTTTAATTAAATAAAACAAATATAAAAGGTAAATACTTTTAAATTTAAAAATAAAATAAAAAATATTAAATCCTTTTACTATACTTTAAATTATATTAGAAAAAAAATGAGAAAATTAATTATATTTTTATTAGTTTTATTATAAGTTAATGCAGGTAAAATTAAAAGGCTATATAAAATATAAAAAATAAATAAAAAAAAGAAAGCTAAATCAGTATGGCTAAAGCATTCGGATGTTCAACTGAAGGAAAAATCGAAGTAAAAGATATTATCTCTGAATGTGAATGTGCAGATAAATCAACATGTGTATGGACTACAGGAAGAAGACCTGTAATGGGATGCCCTTGTCCTGTAAAACCCTCTTCTAATACAAATTATGATGCGGTATTATCAGCTGAAATTTTAGGTTGCAGTGACAAAAAGATAGAAATAAATAAAAATTTTGGATAATGTGAATGTGCTGGCGGTAAGGGATAATGTATTTTTTCAGGAAGAAAAGCGATTGCAGGATGTCCATGTCCAGGTTTTTTTTATTTAAAAAAAAATATAATAAATAAATTTTATATAGGAGGAAGATTACCTGTAGATAGTGATTTTGTAGAAGTATAACCTGTAAGTCATAAAAAGAAGAAAAAAACTAAAAAAAATGCTGATTTATGAAAATAAAATATAGATAAATAATCAAATACATAATTGATAAATTTAAAATTTAAAATTTTATAAATAATAAATACTTTTTTTATTAATTTTTTTTTTTCATTTATATTTTTTTTCATCATATGTGCCTCTTCCTCTTAAAAAAAAATCAACTGAAGGTCCTTCTTCTACAATAATTCTATATTTACATTTATAAAGAACATTTTTCCTAGGCTATTTATAATAATAATAATTAAATTATATTAAAAAAAATACTCTAAAATTAATCATTATTTTTTAAGGATATTATTTATTATCCGCAATAATTTAATTTGTTTTTTAATTTGGTAAAGCTAAAGTATCAGGAAAACATTTTACAGGGACAGAAGGTCCAATAAGTATTCCCTAAAAATTGAAACTTTAATAAAAATTTTAATAAAATAAAAAAACTAACCTAAGAAATTTAAAATTCAAAAACTGAAGGATCATCAACTTTCTAATTATCTTCTATTTCCTCTTTAGTCAACATATTAGGTAGAGTGGCAGATTAAATTCTATTTGAAATAGCTTTAATATTATTAATTTTCCATTTTGCAGGCACTTATGAAATATTACTTAAGAAAATAGTTATGCTTTTATAATTATTTATATTGACAGTGTCGAAATCCTGAATTTAATCGCCTTCAACATCTTCGATACCAGAAGTATTTAAATAAACAAGAGGTCGAAGCAAATGACCTTCTAATTCAATATTCTATTAATCTCCATTTTCAAATAGTATTTGCAATTTTCCAAATTTATAAGTTTTGTAAGTTAAAGGCCATTCCTAATAATTATTGGCTTTTGGACCTTAGAATTCAATTTTCAAAGAAAGGTTGCTATTTTAAACTAAATTAAATTTGTTTTAAAGATAAGAAATGTGTTCTGGAGTCAAAAGTACAACTTCTTAATCATAACTTGCCGGTGAATTGGTTGCTGCCTACATTATTTTGAATGGTCCAATAATATGGATTTAGAATTTTAAATTTAAATTAAATTTATTTATTAATGTTATTTCTTTTAGTTCTTTTTTATTTTCTATGATTTCTTAACATGACCATTTTTCGAATTTTAATTTTAATATTCCATCTACACTTTTCTATTTTTTTTATAAAATTATTATGTATGTATATAAAAATATACTAATTTATCTATATATAAATAAGGATTTATTGTTTAAGCTTATAATCTTATAGCTACAGTACCCATATTATCATTTTTTTCATTTGGATCAATAGAAAATTAGTTTTTTTATCTCAAATAAGGACGAGCAACTAAAACTTAATCAAAATTTTTGGCTTCTTTAGATTAGAAATTTACTTTTATGATTTTCTCTTCTCTTCCTTCCAAAATAAATTATTTTTATTCAATTTAAATATCACTTTGAACGACTTCTTAAGGTTATAAAGGTTCGAAATGTAATAAACAAGCATCTTAAGTGCCTAAATGAGGTTCTTATATTTAAATTTAGAACATATCTTTTGTTCTATCAATATTTTTCAAATCGAAAAGTTTCCATTCTATAATAACATCCTTTGGACCTGTGTTCATAATTTTAAATTAACGTGTTATAGGAGTTTATTCACGTATATATTAACCTAAATTAAATATTGGCCAATCTTGATTATTATTTAAAATGCCTAATTAACCTGGATTTATTATTACTGGTGATCCTATCACTTCTACTTCCATTGGAAATTTTTACTATGGATAACCGTTTATATTTATAATTAAATTATCCTTAAAATGGCCACATATATCGTTAAAGCAGGCTATTATTATTAACACTTCAGAATTTGCAGGAAGTTTTCCTTTATTTGGTTCACAAACTAAATATATATATATATATATATATATATATATATATATATATATTATTATTTTTATATTTTACGAATAGCTATTCCTTTATTATTAGATAAATAAATTCTTTAGTTTTATAATAGAATTTTGGTTTAATTAAGTTATTAGCCTTAAATAGAAGTAAAGTTTTTATTTTTTTCTATGTCATTGGTTAGTAATACTTATGGTTTAGCAGAAAAACTTTATCTTTTTTTTTAATTTTTCTTAAATAAACTCGAAGTGCCTGTTTTATATGTAATTTCTTACATTTTTTCAGTTGTATTTGTGACTGATTCTTTATCATTTGAAAAAAAAGGGAGATATTTTTCAGGAAAAATTTCAAAAGAAGTTGGGATTTCTGAAGTATTTCTTATTGAAATTTGAAATGTTCTTTATTAATTTATTAAGCATTCATAAAATTCGATGCTTTTTAAAGGTGTTCTTGTATATAAATTACTAATTTTTTTATCGGTAAAACTATTTTTCTTTTCTGTTTAAGTTTTATTTAAAATTTTATTTTTAATCTATTTACTGATATCCTTTTAATCTATAATACTATCATTATTTTAGTTATTGCTTTATTATAAATTATCAAATTCAATAGTTAAACCTTAAATATACGATTTTAATTCAAAACCTAAAGGATATTCTACTCCTTCAATATTACAAATGAATATTTCTTCAAAATTTCCTCCTAACTAAGGAATAAATGTAAATTTAATTGGAAGTACTTCCTTTGCTTTTAATATGCCTGTTGAGGGTTCAAATGTATATTTCAACATCTATTATTTAGTATCAAGTTCCCATGAAAATTTACACTGCAAATTTCCTAAGTTTTATAATTCAATATATTATTCTGATTATCCTTTCATTAATCTATATTCTTTACTTATATAAATACGTTCAAAGTTTAATTAAAATCTTTTTATTTTTATTTTTTTAAAAAAAGTCAATCATTTGTGTAGGTATATTTTTACGTATTTAATGACACATTTATTTTTTATATTTCAGCTTTAGTTCGTATATAATTAATTTTACCATCCTTAACTAAACATCCCAATATTGTATTTATTGTTTTGGGTTCATTTTGAAGGCATTTTATGTTGACTGTTTTTTGTTCAAATGGTCCAAGAAAAATTATTTTATTATCAAATATAAAATTATTTTCTTATTTTTTCTGGTATAAATCTAAATAATTTTCTATATTTTTTAAATTATTTTCTTCTTCTAAAAAATATGAATTTTATAGATTAGTTAAGGAGTTTTTACATTCTTTTTTTTTTAAAAAAATTAATAAAATAAAAAAATAAAAAGAAGAAGAAAACCTTTAAACTTTAAAGAATTATCAAATTCTTCTTAAAATAAAACTTCAGCTTAAATTCCACTTTCGTTTTTAATATTTAGCTAAAATAGACCTTCTTGACCTACTTAAAGTAATCCAAAATCGATTTCAGGAACATCTAAGCTGATTTCAGGTCCAATGAAATTTCCTATAAGCTAAAAAAAATTAAAATAAAATATATATAAGAAGAGCAATAAATAATACATCAATAAAAATAGGTTAAGAGTAATTAAAAATAACTTAATAAGTTATTTTTTTATTTTATCCTACTTCTAAACTTTTAAACCCTAAAAAAACTTCCGAATTAGATTTTTCCAAAATTTAGCTTTGACTTTAAGGGATGTCTGGAAATACGTTTTAATCATCATATTATAATTAGAAAGGTTAAATACAGTAAGATACAGGGCATGAACTATTATTTTTAAGCGTAAATTTCCAAAAATAACTTTTTCCAATAAAAAGATTTCCTACAAAGACATGATATGAAGGCTCGACTTCTATTTAAATAAACATCCCTAACCCAATAAGTTAAAAATCGAAGAAAGAAATCGATTATCTAGAGCTATTAGAGGCAAAAAAGGCCGGCTTTTCTACTAACTCTTCAATTTATTCTATATTGTTAGGAGAGTTAAGGAGCATTTTTTTGAGTATTTATGGTGGATTTTTAATACTTGAAAGGGATATGTCTTCTATAATAAGGCTTGCGAATTCAAATTAAGGAATTGAGCTTTAAGAAAAATAACTAATAGAAAAAGTAAGGATCTATTCTTTTTCGAAAATTCCTTTTTCTGGTTCTATTTAAAAGAAGAATTCGTTATTGTTGTTATTTTCATTTTAAACAAGTTTATTTTTAACTTCATTTTTAAAAAGTGCCCAATGATATTTAATTTCAACAGAAGTTTTATTCTTTATTTTTAATTTTCGGATTATTTTTGTTTAAGGATAAGCATTTTCAAAGAAAATTTGTTTTATAAATTCATTATTTTATTCTTAAAAAATATCAAATTTAATATTGTCAATTCCATATATCTCCAAATCAACTAAATTTCCATTTCCTTCTAAACAAAAATGTGAGAAAGTGAGATTATCACAGGCTAAAATTATTTTTTCTTATATATGTCCTTCTTATTTGGGACAAAATGTCACATTAATTTACATCTCTTCGTTTTTTGAAAGAAAAAATTCGCAAGGGTATAAAGAAAAAGAGGTTGCTTTTAAGCAATTATTGTAATTATTTTCCTCGTCCTCATTTTCTAAAAAAAACTTAAATCCACTTTCTCCTCCTCTATTTTGGATTCTAAATACAGTCTCAGTTTTATCACCCACCCAGCAACTTTTGCAATTTAAAATTTCCGGAAGGGTTATTTAAGGCTTTTCTTTTTAACTTATTAGAGGTACTTCAAATATACTATCTTCAGAAATAAAAGTTATTTTATCTTCGTATTATGCAAACGATGTAACTTTAAATTATACTGTTAGTTATAAGGACATACCAGGGGCAATCAAACCTACTTCTTTTAATTTATTTATTTAATATATTTCATTTTTAGCTTCTTTTTCACCTGGATATATTATGCTTGTGATAGTAAATTATTCTCTAAATATATTTTTAAAAAATATGTTTTTATTTTTTTTACAGCTAAGGTGGTAGGAATTTTATTCGACGTAAAATTGATGTTGTATTTATTATTGTCAAATTTATTTTATATATTTCATTTATTAAATAATCTTTAAATAATATTATTTAAGGATTTGCTTTGAAAGGACATTTTTAATCAGTTGCATTAATTAATAAATCCTATTTTTATGAATAAATATATATTTATAATTATTGTTTATTAACATTTCGCTTTTTTATTTCTGTAAATTATATTGGTGGTTTATTATTTTATTTAAACCTTGGATTTTTCAAATAATTTATTCTTTTATTCATATTTTGGATTATTTTTTCATTTTTTAATTTTTCTAATATACTCATCTAATTTAAATATTAAGGTTTTTAAAATGCTTGTACAGATGTTGTTGGACGCATTTAATTTGTTGTTTGCTAATTCTTTTCGTTTGCTCTTATTATTTAATTTTAATCATTATTATTTTCATCTGTTTTTATCCTTTTCTATCTTGCTGATTAACTTATTCTTATTTATTTTATTTTCATTTAAGAGATTTTTTAATTTTCTTTTTTTAATTTTTAATTTCTAATTTTTTTTTTAAATTTAATTAATATAAGTATTTTTGATTAAATAAAAGTTCCTTTTGTTTAATTTTAATAAAGTTTTAAAAATTTAAGATAATGTTATATTGTTGGTTATATAATTTATTAATAAAATGTATTATTTTTATATCTAAGTCATATAAAACTAATAATAACTAATAAATTAATGGCAAATTTTTGGTTATACTAAAAATCAGAATAATATATATTATGATAATACTAATCATTCCAAATTAGAAAATAAGAAATTTTTATAAAATTAATTTTGGTTAACTATTTTTTAATAATAGTATATTAAATAATTGGCTAAATATATAATTTTAAATATGTTAAATATTTTTTCGCAGATTGTTTTATATAATTAATTTTAAATTATATATTTAAATAAATGATCATAAAATTTTATATTACAAATTGTTTTCTAAACCATACTTAAATCAGTATTAAAATCAAAATAATATATGATTTAATAATTTTTAAAACACAAAATAATATTTATAATTAATATATATTTAATATAATATTATTTTATAACAACGAAAAAATTTATAAAATCCTTCAAAAATTTAACGAAAATTTTTGATATTATTTTTTTAGAAAAAGTTATTATTTCAAAAATAATAATAAAAAGAAAAAAATAAAGATTAAAAAAAACACATAAAAGAAATTATTTGAATTAAAATAATATTAAATTAATAAATAAAAAACTAATCCAAAATAAAATACATATAAAATAAAAAATTCATTGAAATCTATTATAATAAAACAAATGTAAAGCTTGTAATAAAATATATTATTTGCAACAGACTAATTATAGTTTATAAATAATAAACATTAAGATAAAACAGGTAATAAAAATATTTAAAAAAAAAATATTTAAATTAAATAAGGAATAAATAATAAATTTATAAAACAAAAACATTAAAAAAATGGAAGTTTATAATTAGATGAATAGTATTAAAAAAATATTTAATAATTTGTTTAAAAAGAGTTAATGTAAATGAATGCAAACTCTCCAAACTAATTGCAAACGTAATTTACTCCTTATACAAACAAAAACTTGCAATAAACAAACTAAGAAATTTCGCAAAGTGTTTTCAATAACAAATAAATATATCATTCCTACCGTTAACCATAAAGTAATTAATAGAAATATATATAAGAAAAAGAAGTGATATTTAATTAAAAGTAAATAAAAATTATTTTAAATTAATATAGTTTTTTAAAAAAAAAGTAAAATAAATAATAGAACAATATTTAATAGTGTCCATTAAAATAATGAATCAGATTAATCATTAAAACAATTTATCTAGAGTCTAAAATTAAGCTAATAACTAAGTAATTAAACAAAAATTGTTTTAAAAAATGATATTAATGATAAAAACTTTCTTAAAGTTAAGTATTAACCTTAAGATAATTCATTGAAAAGAATTCCTTATTTGCTATAAAAATTATAGCAATACTAATTATATAATGATGCTTAAACTGTATTACAAAATAAAACAAATTTATATTAAAATAAGCAAAACAAAGAAAAATAATAAATTTTAAATACTTCGATTAATAACAGCAACAACATGTATTTTAATTCTAATTTTATTAATAATATAAATAATTGTTCTTAATTTGTAAATAATAGTAATAAAGTAAAAAATGATAATAGTAGTAAAAAATATTTTATCGAAAATACTAATTTTGATAAAAGCAATCTTAATTTAATTAATATATCTTAGTTGAGTGATATTATTATTAATAATAATGAAGAAATAGAATTATTGGAAAATAATAATTGCAGAAATCATCCTTATAAGAAAGTATTTAATATATATATATATATATATATATATATATATATATATATATTTATTTAATAAGGCTATGTATACTATTTAAAATTCAAAAGCTATATAGAGCTTATATTGTACAAAATGTGCTAATTATTTATCGTCTTAAGATTTCAAAGTATGCTTATTAGAAGATAATTAACAGAATAATACTTAAAAATAAAGCTTTATATCGTCTTCAAAATAAAAGCAATCAGATTAATTTATAACAAATAGTTCTTAGCAAAAAATTAATTTACAAGAAGAAGAATTTACTAAAATAAAATAAACAAATAAATTATTAACAAACATATAAAAATATGGTTTTTTTTTTTTTAGAAAATAAATAAATATTAATAAAATTAAAAAAATAAAAGGTCCGAAATGGGAATAATTAAATCATGCATTAATAATAAAAAAAAAAGTTGTAAGTAATTTTTATGAAAAGTAGTTACAATAAATAGATGATTAATATAACAAATTAATATACTAATTAGAAAAAAGTAAAGAAATAAGCAAAATGTAAATAAATAATAGCAAATCATAATCAATACATATATATTAAAAGTGGGAGAAAGAAAGTAAAGAATACCTAACAGATTGCATTAATATATAAGCTGATATTTAAATGAACAAAAAAAATATTATCAACTCTATTGAAATGTAGGATTTTCTCGAAATTATGAATCATTATTAAGAAAAGCTTAATAAAATGATTACTTTTTACTCTAATATGGCTAATTAATGTATTAATTTAGTTAAAATTTAGTCGCCACAAACTTTTTAGCCACTTTTAGAATAAATTTTTCGTTTGATTTCTTTCAATTCGCCTTTAATAAATAAAAAATAGGGTTATTAAGTTAAAAAAAATCATTAAGAAGAGATAAAAAAAAATAGCTAAAGTGAAGTAGCCTGTTAATAACAATAAAATTATTGCAATTCACCAATAAAAAATTCTAATTAGAACCTAAAAAAATAAGAATAAAATAAGAAAGATATATACATAAGTTTTGGCAATAATAAAAATTGTTTGTAAAAAGCAATAAATTAAGCAAATAATATAAAATAAAATTTCTAAATATAAAAAGAGCAAGAATTTAGTTAATTTAGTACTCCTGAATTAAAATAAATAATAAAATTAAAAAAAAATGAAAATCCTTAAAATACTAGTGTAATTTCTAATAATGAAAGTATGAAAAATATAAAAAATGAAGAAGGTTTTGAAGAAGAAGAAGAAAAAAGCGCTTGCTTAAACGAAAAGAATGAAATATAAAACATTAATTTATTTAAATAATAAATTTTTAATATTTCGGGCAATAATTAAAAATAAGAAAGTAATTAAAACTTTAGTTAAATATTGATTAATAGCGATTATAAAAAAAATATAATAAAAAATAAAAATTATCATCATAAATCTGTTGATTAATATATTTAAGATGATAACTTTGAATTTAATAATAATTATAATTATTGTAAATAATATCATTATAATTAAAATTATAATTATAACAATTAATTAAATAATTTTGATTAAAATAAAAAAAATTAAAGTGTTTAAAATTGTTTTGATGATGATTATGATATTGTTATAACTAAAGACAATTGATATATCAATGTTTATTTTTAAATTAAAAAAATAATAATTTATATTACATATATCAATATATTTTATATATATTAATTAAATTTAACATTTAATATTATATTAATTTATAAAAAAAATATTTATAATAATTTTCTTATAATTAATTGCATTTAATTTTTTTTTATTTATAACATGCTTTTATATTTTGATTAAAATTTATTAGACAATCTATATACAACATAAATATTTATATTTGCGGTAAATCTATTAAAAATAAATATTTAATATTTTTAATAAAAAAAAGTTTTTAAAAAAATAATATGTTTTAATTTAGTGTTTTCTCACATGATTATTATACATTAAATCTTCCTAATCATCCCTAAAAGAATTTAGAATTAAATGCAGAATAATTTTATAAAGACTTTGAATTTTATGATTAAATTCTTGACAACAAAAACAAAAAAATATTTACTGCTCCTGTAATACGACTTTATGGCTCAACAAGTTCTGATCAAAAAGTTTGCTTACATGTTCATGGTGTATTTAATTTTATTAAATAATATTTTTATTTAAAAAAAAGTTTTTTCCTTATTTTTACATAAAAATAAATGAAATATGGGATTTGTTAAAAAATAATGGTTAAATATATATTTAGCATTGATGTTTATATATATTTTTTTAAAAAAAAAAGAATAGTTAGCTTCGTTTGTATAACTAATTGAAGAATAATATCATATAATTCATTCAGTAAGTGAAAAACAAAGAAATTATTTCACAAGCATATAACCTATAATATATAATTATGAAATATATTAAGCGAAAAATATATATGGGTATAGTAATACTAATGAGCCTTTTTTAAAAATATATTGTTATAATTAAAAATATATAAAAAATTTAGTTGAAATTTTAGAAAGCGGTTTAATAATGGATATTCGTTTTGTATTATATGAAGTAATTAATAATAAATAAAAATATAAAAAATTATACAAAGAGCCATTTTTCATATCTAATGAGATTTTATGCAGAATGTGAAATTTATGGTCTAATGTAAATAACATTGTAAAAATTCAGCATAAGATATAAAGATTAAAATTAATAAAATATAGGATATACAAATAACCATAATAATTATATATATAATTAAATGTTCAAATTATCTAAAATCCAATGGGAATTAGATGTGTACTATAAGGATATTTTAAACTATGTTCATGGTAAATAAGATGAAGAAGAATTAAAATAAAATCTTTATGGAATGAATGATTTTCCTATTATGTAAATTACAAAGTCCTTAAATATTCTTTGGGAAGAAGAATCGAAAATGTAAAAAGAGATTTTAAAAATAGAAGAAACCAAAGAAAAAAAAACTATTGATTTTTCTGAAAACATAAATAGTTAAAAAGGGGGCAATATATATTCTATTTGTTAAATGGAAAAAGTAAGTCTTAAGTTTGAAAAATATGTAAAAGATTATTTATAAAAATTTTAAATTTAAAGTCTAAAAGGAAATATTTAAATTTATGTAAACGAAAAAATTTAAAAAAATTATTGTTTTTATATAAAAAACTTAAATGATGACGCTTAAGTTTAAATGCAAAACAGAAAAAATGATTATATTCAAAGAAAAAAAGACTATTATTAATAGTTAAAATAAGGTCTAATTGATGAATTTAACTTTTAAAATACAGAATCTGAATCAGAAGAATAAGAATAAGAATTAGAATAAGAATTAGAGTAAGAATAAATATAAAAATAAGAATAAACATAAAAATAAGAATAAGATTAGGTATTAAAAACAAAATAAAAATAAGAATAAGAAAAAAGCCTAAAAAAAAAAAATGGCAAATATATAGAAAAAAATAATATTTAAATTTGGAGAGATCAATATACATCTTTTAAAAATAATCTTTTATTTATTATTTGCAATTTTTGCTTCTAACCTACTTGTATTTGTAAATGCTTTTTTATTCATAATTCTTTAAGTAATTCTTAAGCTTTTTTTCAAAAAAATTAATATTTTCAAAATGTATATTTATACAATAAAAAATGTCCTTAATTGTATGAATTTAATAAAACTTTCCCTACTAAAAACTAATTGTAATATTTTATTTTTTTAAATAAAATTTATAATAAAAAAATAGTGCTTTTTTTGAAAGATATGATGAACTCCTAGAATACTATAATATTAAAAAAGCTTAACCTAGTTTATAAATATGTTAGATTTTAGATAGCCATTACTTAAAGATTTAACCAAATAAATAATATTTTCTAAGTATTAAAAACGAATTAAAACTCCCTAATTATGCTAGAGTTTATATAACTTAAGATTATGAGGAAAATTAGTTTATGAAAGGGGCAGAAAAATAATACATCTATGCGAAAAAAGCTCCAAAAATAGTATTCGAAGTTAAAGACGAAATAAGGAAAATAAGGTCAAAAGAAATAGAGAAAAATTAATAATTAAATTTTCAATAAAGCATTATTTTTGAATAAAATATCACTATTTTAACGTTTGAAGTTTTTGCAAAAAGTTATTCTAATTTAAAACCTAAACATGAATAAGATTCTATATAATTTTTAGTTTATGTTATAAAAAATACTAAAAATAACTAGAAATTTTAAGGTTTTTATTTTTTAAATAAAAAATTATTATTTATAAAAATAGACTAAGGAATAATAATAACATCATAAAACTAATCAATTAATGAAATAAATTTATAGTTTGATTTATAAAAATCTGATTTTTAAACAACATATGTAGTTTAAGATGAAATAGAATTAATTAATACCTTTGTTCAAATAATTCATTAATATGACATAGATATAATTATAGGTTATGATACCGAAAGAAAATCCTTAGCTTATCTAACTAATAGGGCTTGGTAATAAAAAATAGATATAATGGATAAATTATCAAGATGCCCTTAATAAATAGAAAGAAACTACTAATAATTAAAAGAAAATATGGAAAAAAATTAAGTTTAAGTTGGATGGTATGCAAACTTTAAACCGAATTTGAATGCAAATGGAAGAATAATAATTAATTTATGGAGGATAGTAAAATTTGAAAAAAAATTTTAATGTTATGAATTAGAAAGTGTTCTTTTTTATTTATTAAGAATAAGAATTCCAATATTTTCAAACTCAGATTTAACCAAAATGTATGAAGATAACAAAAATAAATGTCATGTAGTAAAATATATGTTGTTAAGAGTTTTAAAAACAGTTATTATTTATGAAAAAATTAAAATTATTCAAAAATGTATTGAAGAAACAAAACTTTATGGTTATGATTTCGAATCTTCCGTATTATACATATATATTCTTTTAATAATATTCACTTTATTAAATTAAAAAAAAAAAAAGATTAACAAAGGATCTATATTTAGAGTTGAAGGTATTATTTATAGAGTTTCAAGGCATTTGAATTTCTTAATGATGAGTGGAAGTAAAAATAATGTAGTTGAATAAAAAATATTAGATACTATGCCTATTACACTTGAACCTGCAAAGATATTCTACCCTGAGTAAAAAAAAATATTTATTTGTTACTAGTTATAAAAAAATAGTCCAGTCATAGTTTTAGATTTTTAATCATTATATCCTTCTTTAATTGTTGCATATAATATGTGTTATTCTACTTGTATAGGAAATATAAATGAATTTTTGGATGAATAAGGAAATAAAAATTTAGGAATATAAAAAAAATGGTCTGTAGATTTTCCTGATTTACTTAAAAAATGCAATAATAATATAGAAGAAGTTAAAAAAAATATCTTCATAACAAAAAACTAAGTAGGATTTGTCAAAAGAAACATTAGAAAAGGTATTTTTCCTAGCGTTTTACATGAATTTTTAATGACAAGAATTCGAATAAAAAATAATTTGAAATAATATGAAAACTATAAAAGTATATTAGAAAATTTAATTTCTAGATAAAAATCTCTTAAGCTTTTTATGTGCGTCGTTTTTGGTTATACAGGAGCCACTACAAGTGGAAAAATGCCTTTAAGAGAATTTACGGACTCTATTGTTTCAACTGCTAAATATATTATGAATTAGGTTATTGAATTTATTAATTCTAATCAAAAATGGGATGCTAAGGTTAGTAAAAAAAGAAATTTACAATATTATAAAAAAAATCAATAAAAGGTTATATATGGTGATACTGATAGTGTGTTTGTTAATTTAAAAGGAAGATCAATGCAAGAAGCAGTAAAAATAGGGAAAGAAATATCAAAAGAAGTAACTAAACTTTATCCTTATCCAATAAAATTAAAATATGAGAAAGTTTATAAAGAATTAGTTTTACTTTCCAAAAAAAAGTACACAGGTAACTATATTGAAAATGAAGATGATCCTATTAAATTTGAAAGTAAAGGAATGTAAATTATTAGAAAAGATGGATGTCAGATTGTTGGAAAAATTCTAAACAAATGTTTACAAATACTTTTCTAAACTAAAAATTTAACTACTTTGAGAATTTATCTAAATAAAAAATGGCAAAAAATTATTAATGATTAAAATAATGCAACTGACTTTATTATTTCTAAATAATGTAGACTTTAAAATTATGTTAATACGTCAGCCCATGCAAAAGTCGCTTTAGATTTAATGAAAGAGGATCCTCAAAATAAACCTAAGCATGGAGAAATAATTAAATATTTTATTGTTAATAAAGAAAAAAAAAAAAAAAATGGAATTATAAAACTCTAAGAGTATTCAGTTTCTGTTAATGATTATATGGAAAATTACTAACATTCTCTTAATTATGATTATTATATTTAAAAATATATTAATCAAAATTTAAAAAAATTATTTTTCACTTTTGGAATTAATATTGATGTAAATTTATTTTTTTAGAAAAAAAATAATTAAAATATAAATAACTAGGATTGGTTTCATAATATGAAAAGTGAATATGTAAAACCTAATTTATTAAGCTTAAATAATAAAAAATATAATTAATTAAAAAATTACTATAATATTTAAACTTGTATAGTTTGTTTTGAAAAATCTAAATTTAACATATGTAATAAATGCCAATAAGATAAGCTTGCCCTTGCTTTTTTGTTAGATTAGAAATATAATAATAACATCTAATAATATATTAAATTTAAAAATATTTGCTAAAATTGCTCAGGTGTTGAAAATATTGAAAATTCCCCTAATTGTATACAAAGTGATTGTAAATACTTTTTTACTAAATAAATTGTAAAATAAAATATTGAGTATCTAAATCCTGTAATAAAAGAATGTTAAGAAAAATATTTTTATTGATATAAGAAAAATGCAATACATGCTTATATAAGTTTCATTTGATAATTAAATTAACAAGAAATAATTCATAATTTGATTTCATATTAATAGAATTTGAATAATCTCTTATTATTTTTTTTATTATAATAATTATAGTAAATATCTATATATTTTATACACAATTTTTTTATAATTTATTAATTTTTTTTTGTAAAATTAATAAAAATATTAATAAGGTGAGAAAAAATAATATCGCATTTATATTGATTAACAAAAAATTTATATAAATTAAAACAATAAACTATTAAAAATAAATTTTTAATAAAATATAAAAATAAAAAGTTTATAAAAGAAAAAAAGAAAAATTTGTTATATAATTAAATAATTAAAATTTTAAAAATAATAAATATTTTTTAAAATATGTTATTATTAATTTTATTTTATTTTATTTAAAAAAATTTTAATAATTATAAAAAAATATATCTATCCAATTTAATATATAAAAATGGGAAATTGTTGTTAGGCAGAAGTAACAAAAGAAATAAAATAAAGTGATATTTTAGAAACAAAAGAACAATTAAATACAAATTTTGAATCTGCAAAAAATATATAAACTCCACCAAATACAGAAAAATAAGAAATTAAAAAAAAAGTAAATTTAAAACTTGATTTAGAAAAACTTAATTAATAAAATTAAAATAATTGCGATGAATAATAACCTCCTTTATAAAAACGAAATAATTAAAAACATTCCTAAGATACTAAGGTAATAAATAACAAATTAAGATTAGAAGATACTGATAATTATCAACCTTATTAAGGACCTCCTGTTCCACGAAAACAATAATAAATTAGATTTGATGTTGATCTAAATAAAGAAAATAAATTTTTAAATGATTAAAATTGCAAAAAAATTTAATGAGGAAAATAAATATAAAATTTTAACAATAATTTTATTTTTTTAGAATTTTTATATTATATTTTTTTATATTTAGAAAAAAATGTAAATTTTATTTATTTTTATTTTGTTTCATTTTTCTGTCTTAAGTTTTGTATAATAAAATTATTCTTAATTCCATCCTTTGATTTTTTTTTTTTTAAAAAAAAATATAATAATTTACTATTCCATTATTCGAAAAAGTAATCAATAAACGAGGTTGCACCAATAGCTAAAATGTTTCCTAAATGGAAATAAGGAGTTTATAGTATTCTTTATAAAAAATAATTTTTAAATAACATAAATTATATAGATAAATTATTGTTTTTACTAAAGTATAATTCTATATATATTAGAAGTTTTAAACATAATATCAATAATTAATACTGTCCCTATATATACAACAATGGATCCAAAATTAAAAAATAAACTTGCAAAACTATGATCACTTGAAATAATAATAACTTTTATATTTGCATTTAAAACAGCTAAACTAAAAACCATAGTTCCACTTGACCAAAAATTCAAAGAGTAACCTTTTTAATTTCCAAAAGTATATTCTAAACTATAAAAACTAGTTTTTTTATAATTATAAATTTAAAAGTAAAATATATAAAATTTACCTAAAAAAACATATTATTACACTTTACCAAACTGCATTTAAAAACCAAGACCAAAATACGGTTCTGTTGAATAGAGAATCTAAATTTAAAAAAATTAAATACATTATTAAAAGTTAAAAAATACGCTTAATTCCTTATAAATAATAATTTTTCTTATTAGCAACAAGTACTTTATATTCATATTATTCATCAAAAACCTAATTTAAAAATATATTAAAATATAAAAAATATAAATTACTGCATAAATAATAATTGGAAGTGAAGCATAAACAACATTAAAAAGCTAATAAATATAACTATCATATAGAGTTTATCCAGAAAAAGCATTTTCGATTGCAAACCAAAACTAAGGAAGTACAAGAATAATATTTTTATAAAAATTAAAACAAACAAGTCTAGAATTTCTTCTATAAGATTCTCTACCATGATAAAACAATAAATTTCTTAAAATTTTGAATTCTCCAATAGAATAATCACTAGCCCTAGCAGCCTATTATCCTTCAACTCCATTAATTCCGATTCCTACATGAGCAGCACAAATCATATTAACATCATTAGCTCCATCACCAATCGCAAGTGTAGAAACATTACTTTTATTTTCTCTTACTAAAGTAACTATTTATTACTTTTATTAAGGAGAAACTCTACAGCAAAGTACTGCTGTGCAATAATTAGTTATTTAAATTAACAAATTTTTCAACTCGCCTTTTAATACATAGATAAGAGATTCTCCTGTTATAATAAATGCATTATTATAATTAAGTTATCCATTTTCATCTTTGTTTTATTAGATTTCGATTAGTGTTTTTTTAAGTTTATCTTCTATGTCCTGTGCGTTTTATTAGTCATTATACATTTCGAAATTTTTCTGTAGCTTTATTACATATTATTAAAGATCGTTTGATAATAGCTTGCAAGAAAAACCTATATTTATTGCAGTTTCTACTTTATCTCCTGTTAACACCCATACTTTTATACCTGCACATTTCAAAGAATGTATTGTTTCGCCAACTTTATCTTGAAGCTTATCTTCTATTGCCGTTGCGCCAACTAAAATAAGATCTTTTTCTAATAAAGCTTGTACTTATATCATATACTCTTCTCTATTTACTAAAGTTGTGCATGCTTCTTGATATTATTTTTACCATTAAGTGTATTCTTAAATAGGGATTTCTCTTTCACACAAAATTAATGTACGAAGACCAATATTACCATAATCATCCAAATTTTTTTCAGTTTCTTCAATTTTTTATGATTTTTATTTATCAATTAAAGCTAATAATACTGAATCAGCACCCTTACAAAATAAAAAAATTTTATTAGATTCGAGATCTTAAATTAATACTGATTAACGTTTTCGAGTAGAATCAAACTAAAATACATGAAGAAGTTTAACTTATTTATTTATTCCTTTAATTTAATAAAGAATATTCTATTCTTCATCGATTCCTTTAAATTCTACACCACAGTATTTAGCAAAATTAACCAAGGCTAATTCATCAGGAGAAGATGCCTTATTTAAAATTAAAATTTATTAATTATTTATTAATTATTTATTAATTATTTATTTATTTATTTATTTATTTATTTATATATTTTTTTTAATTTTTTTTTTTTTTTTTTTACATTATATATTTGTTCTTTTTCACCATTTTCATTTTTTATTTCTATTATTACTGTATGAGTTAATGCCAATATTTTTAGAGTTTTCAGTATATTTTAATACTCAGGATTATTTTTATCAGAAAAATTTTAAAAAAATTTATTATCTTTAAAATCTACATTTTTTACACTTGGAAATTTTTAAGCATCATATTCATTATTTGGTTGCTCTGTTGATTATGGCTCTCCTTATTTTCTTTTTATTTTATTTTTATTTTTTTTATTTACCATATGATATTCCATTTATAGATATTTTTTTAAATTCCATTATATTACATGTTAAAGTACCTGTTTTATCTGAAAAAACATATTCTATTTAACCCAATTCTTCGTTTAAGTTCGAACTTTGTACATTTGTTTGAGTTATTATTTCATCATCATTTTCATCTTTAAATTTATATATCATATATTAATCTTTTTGGATTATTATAGCTTATATAAATTTGACCATCTCAAGAGTAACAAGAAGCGCTATTTTTTTTTTTAAAATAAAAAATAATATTCTTAGATTACAAATTGGAACAAAATTATTAAAAATCAAAACCCAATTTCCAAACCTAACAAAAAAATTATAATAATCTTGACTTTCAAAAGAATTTAAATCAATTCCTAAATATCCTAAATCTTTTTTATTTTCTCTATAAAAAATCATATAATAAAGAGCTGCAAACATACAAATCCCAATTTAAACTATAAAAATAAATATTATCTATTAACCCATTGTATGTTCTAAATGACTTTTTTTTGCTCTTGCCTTGAATGAATTTTTCATTATTTTCGTGTCATGACCTGTATAACAAACTAATCCTAAAACCCATTTTGTATTTCTTAATTTACATCCTCTTAATATTATATTATTATTATCTATTGGAAAGTCATTTTCTTAGTTTGGTAAAACGCAAGTTCCAGCAAATTTATATAAAATTGGATTAGGTAGTTCATAAGAGAAAATACAATTTTTAGAATTTAAAGTTTAAGTCTTTGTTTAAATATATATTTGTTTTATTATATTTTTTAGAGTATTACATTTAATTTGGGACCATAATATTAATAAATGTCTTTTTAAGCATTTTTTTGTTTTAAATTTGTTTCGCCATCTAATGATTTTGTTTCAATATAACCCATTCCTTTTTTTTCTGATGTTGATAGTATTAATACATCTGCAGGAATAAATTCTTTATCTAAAATCTTAATAAAAAATAAAGTATATGTAATATTTATTTTTATAAATTTAAATACTTTTATGTACATACCAACTCTTATAAGTTACCATTCTAGTTAAATAAACTGTTGAATTTCTGGCTTCCATACTAGGACATGCCTCTTTTTTTTAATTTTATTGGGTTTTATACTTTTTTACTTTATTTTCCTCATTATCTGATTTTTTTCTTTTATAATCTTCGTAAAAATCTTTGGAAGCTGTAATTGCTAAAATTACTGTTAAAGGCAAAAAAATAGTTGGCACACCATCAGAAATAGAAATTTAAGGAATAATTTAACAAAATCCTGCTATCTTTTTTTTTTTTAATAATTTTATTATTTATCTTAAAGAATAAAATTTATACTAAAAAATATAGGTTTGCTATTTTGGAAAACTATTCAATTAAATTTTTTGGAAGAAAATTATAAAAAGTGTATTTGCTTGTTTAAATTGAATTATCCGGAAGTTATAAATCAAATCTTTAAGAAGTTATTTTTCTGTTTTTAACACGGTCAGCATTTTTACGATTTAATTTATTTTAATATTCATAATCTTAACCAAATTTTTATTAATTTGACATATTGCAAATTTGTTAAATTATAAAAATATAAGTAATTAATTTTATATATTAATTAAAAATTTCATATAAATATGAAATTTAATATATATATTTTTTTTTAAATGATTTTTATAAAATATCAATTAAATTTTTTTTTCTTTTAAAACATAGTTGAATAAAAATATTTTAGATAAATGATTATTACCATTTTTTTTGATTAAGTTTTTTTTAAAAAATAGAGAAAATAAACCCTGCTAAAAAGTAGTATATATTTTTATGTTCATTTTTTTATGAAACTTTTTTTCAGATAAATTGTAAATAAATAATTTATATATAATAATATTAATTATAAAATAAAATTAATACATAAAAAAATAAAAATTATTATATTAATAAATATAATTATATTTTTATCATAAATAAAAGATCAATATTCCTAAATTTTCATCTCTGTAATCTTTAGCAAATTATGTTTAACTAACTTCTTCATATTTATATTTTAATTTAATTTAATTAATAATTTATAATTCAGAATTTTTTCTTATGATGTAAGCAATAAAAAATACTACATTGGTACTAATTTATGATATATATTCAATAGTTTCTAATAAAAGCAAACTATTTGAATCATCGTACATTAAATCACTTCCAATAATAAATTCAAATTAGCCATATTTATTTAGTAAATCCAAAAATTAACCTTTATTTTATTTACCCCAACTTAAAGTTTCATTAAAAACTTTAGTTTACTCAATTTAATCTCTATTTATGTTTATATTTTCTATTAAAATTTATTAATTTTATTATTAATCTGTTAGTACAATTAAACTGGGATTAAAACTTAGCATTGAAAAGCCAGAATATCCTGTACCTGAGCCTAATTCAAGAATTTTTTTATTTTCAATTTTGTATTTATTTTATATTTCTAGAAAATTATTCTATATATAATGACAAAACAATAATCCTGCATCCCAAACTGTACCTGAATGACTATAATCAAGAGATTATTTAATTTGAAATATTTTTGAATTTATTTAAATTTATCTATTCAACATTAATTTTATATATATATGTATAAAAATTTATTAAAGATTAAAAAATAATATTAAAATAAATAAAATACAAGAAAAATAAAATATAAATAAATATATTTTATAATATTAAATAAATAAAAAAAAATAGAAATAATATAATATAAGAAATAAATCGCAAATTTATATTAATATAGTATTTTGCTATTCAATATTTTTAATTCTTGAAATATTATTATAGTAACTATTATTTATTAAAAATAAAAATAATATTAAAATAATTTTAATTAAGTAATTTTAAAATAAATTATACTATAAATAATAAATATATATATATATATATTAAATATATATATAAATATTTAAAAATATTTATATATATATTTTAAAAATTCATACATATTAATTTTTTTTTTATAATTATATTATATTTATCATTTTTATTTAGTATATATATTTTTTTTTTAGGGTAAAATAATAATCTTTTTTTTTACTTTTATATATTTTTCCTTTTTTTGTAATTATTTTCATTTTTTTTTTAATTTAAATAATTTATTTAAATATTTTTATTTTTTTTGATCTTTATATTAGAAAAAGTTATAAATAATAATTATTCTTCTTTTTATGTAATTTTATCCTATTAAATAATGTTCTTACTATATATTATTTTTATTTTTTAAATAATCTTTTTTATTAAAGTTAATAGTTTTTTAATTAATTTTATTTCTTTTTATAAATAATAATAAATTACCTTAATTTTTCATTTCAATTATTATTATTTACTATATATGATTAATTTCTTTTTAATATTTTTTTTATTTTTCTAATTTTTTAACCTTCATTCATTAATCAAAAAATTATATTAATATTAATTTTTTATTAATCTTTTATTTTTGTCTTAATTTATTTAAAAAATACATAAATAATAATAATTAAACTAATTCCCCTATTTACTATATTCAACTTAATATATTATATACACTTTATATTTTATTTTTTTTAAATAATGTTTAAGAATTATTTTATTTAAATAAAGTTTAAAAGGAAATACTATTTTTTTATTTTATATTTTTTTTTAAAAAAAAAAACGGAAAAAAATATACATTATAAATCATTTTTTTTATTTTTATAACTATTTTATAAAATATATAAAATAATAAAAACTAAAAATAATAAAATAACAAATAAAAAAAATGAGTGTATCAAAACCACGAAAACAGAAGCATCGTTTCGCAAATATGGAAAATGAAAAAGACATGTAAAGGAAAATTTACGAAGAGACATTAAAAAGAAAAAGATTAATTAAATTTTGAATTTTAAAAAATGGAAGAAATAAGTAAATATGAAGCTTAGTCAATTTAATCAAAAAATGAAATAAAATTTAAAAATGAGTTTGACAGAATAATAAATTTTAAAAATAAAAAAGAAAAATAATTAAGTGATTTAAACATAAATCTCTTACAAATCACAGAAATTAATTAAATTTAGTAGCCTCTTCCTGAAGGATAAAGCCTTTTTAATGCAAATAGTAATAGAATGAATAATTTATCTTCTATTTTTAGTAAAAAATATTATAAATCAGAAGGTGTTTAAACTATTTCTTCAACTTAAGCAAAAGATAGAATTTCATTAAATGACTATATAAAATATTTACAGGAAGAAATTTAAATTGCTGATAATAACTTTCTTAATGAATAGTAGAGAAATCAGTAATTGATGTAAGCTTAATAAGAAATATTCAAAACTACTTAAAAATTTAAAATGGAATTTAATGATTTAGAATTTCTTAATTATACGGCAGAAAGAAGATTTCATGATATAGAGGCTATAAATTACAAAGCAAAAGAAAAAAAGACAGGAGTTTTAAGAACTTTGAACTAAGTGAAAATTAGTAATTATATTATATATACTATATATATATATATATAATATAATATATATATATATATATATATATATATATATATATATATATTATATATTTATTTTTTTAAACAATTTAAGAATTTAAATGAATATAAATAAATTGGTAATAAATTTAAAGATAAATAGTTTTTAAGAATGAAAAATGAAGAAAAACTCAAAAAAACTGCTGAAGAAATATTATCTCATGAAATGATGAGAAGGGACGAAATGGAAAAAGAAAATGAATAATTAGTGTAGATTATAAGTTTAGAAGATATCAAATAATAAAATATTATAAATTAAAGAATGCAAACCAAATATATTATTAAATATATTTAAGCATTTATGTAGTTAGAGTCGCTCTTTTTATAAGGAGATGTGAAAGAATAAGAAATTTAATAAATTTATTAACATAATTTATTACATCAGTATGATTTTATATTATTTTAATGTTTTAGTTTATATTTAAAATAAAATTAGCGATGACTCATATTTTAATTTAGAAAGTAGAAAATTATAATAAAATGAATTAGAATAATAAGAATAGGAAATAAATAATAATATAGCAAATAATAGAAACTTTATGATTGAATAAATTGAAATGTAATATACATAAATAAATAAATAAATAAAGTAATAAAAAAAAAAGGTTTTTTGGATAGCATCCTATTGGAATTAATAAATTAATTGAGTAGTTATTCAGTTTATATAATAATTATTCATATGTGTAGGAAAATTTAAAACAAAGACATAGTATTTTACTAGAAAATAAAAGTAAAAAACAAGGAGAATATAAATAAATTTAATAAGAATTATAATAATTGTAGGAAAAAAATAAATACGTATAATAAATGGAAGAAGATAAAAGTTTTGAAAAAGAATTCTTAAATAAAAAAGATGCAATTGATACAGGAATTATAATATTAAATGAAGAAAGTGACTAAAATTAATAATAATAAAAAGTAACTACTGTGAATATAATAAATAACGATGAAAACTTATTAGAAAGTTAAAAACTTTTAACAAAAATCTAAAAAAATTAGAATTTTTTATTTCATTTCTTTTACAATTTCTGCGAAAGTATAAATAGACTAGGTTAAATAATTTTCTAAATTAATAGCTTTTCAGAAAACATATGTCCTATTGAAATAAATTTAACTACAAAAGAAATACTTTAATATATATAAGAGATCTGGTAAGGCTAATTTAATGATAGATCAATAAATATAAAAAAATCACTTATTAATAATAATCTAAAGAGCGTAACAAAAATGAGTACAAAATAAAAAATTATAATATATATATAAATATATAATTTATTAAATGTAAAGATACGATAGATATTTAAAATGGAAATATAAATGATAACTAATATTTTTAAAATATTAAAACAGACAAGTATTCAGAATAGGAAATTAGTTAACTTTTTGAAGATATATTTGAAAAGAAATGTTATGAAAATAAAAGATTTTTCTAATAAATAAAAAATGAAAGATTAGTATGGTTTTTTTGTAACAATAATATCATTAAAAATTACTTAAATGAATAAAAAAGAAACTTTGAAACTTTTAATGAACAAATGTTGGCTGTATTTCATAATTTTGAAAATCTAAAAGATAAAGGACTTTAAATTTTTGAAAAAAGGCTAGAAACAATAATGAATTATACAATTAAATTATTAAATTTAATTTAAGAAAGTGGATATGATGCTTTAAAAGTAAAATAAAATTAATAATATTTAATTAATTATTTAAAACATTTTTTTTATTTTATTTTTAATTAATTTAATTTAGATAATCAAAGAAAACTATGCAGATTATAATGTTAATAGAATAGATGGAATTAATAACCTAAGGGAAAGTGAAGATATTAAAGAAACAAGAAACAGAATAACTTAAAGAATTTAGAATTACTTTTGTAATTATGAACCACTGTTAGAAGATTAAATAATATTAAGAAAAGAAGAATAAATAGGTATTTAATTAAATAATACAGAATAAAATTAAGTTTAAATTGAAGCCAATTAAAATAAAACAAACTAAGAAAAAGAATAAGATTAAATATTTTTATTAATAGAATATATAAAAAAAACTAAAAACAATGCATTTTTACTTCTTTAATAATAAAAAAAGCAATAAGTATTAGAAGCAAAAAAATTTAAGTTAAAAAATAGAAAATAAAATCATAACAGTTAAATGAGCAGTCAAAATTCAAAATAAATGTCTCAGAATTCTTTGATAATAAATACAAATGATTTAGACAAATTAAATTAATAGTAAAAGTAGGCATCATAATAACAATACTAGTAATAAAACTAAAATAATTAATAGTAGATATAAACTAATTTATAAAATTAAATAAGCAAAGAACCTGAAAATTTATTAAATTTAGAAAAAAGATAAGTACCAAATCAATATGATGTAGGTATTAGAAAGTTAAACTAAAACGAAGAAAAGTAAATAGCCATAGAGAGAGAAAAAGTGCATAACTTAGTAAAACAAAAATATTCATAATAATTAAAAAAATAATTGCTTCTTGAATAACAATTAAATAACAAATTTTTTGTTTCTTAAAAAATTTCTGATATTAATAAAAGGTTAAATGAAAATATTTAAGAACCCACTAAATAAAAAATTTTAAGGAACTTTTCAGATAATTAAACTGTCTTATCTAAAGTTGACAGAATGGATAAATTTATTGGAACTATTGGGCCTAAAATTCTAAATAACATTCAAAATGAAAAGGAAAGTATGATTAGAGAATTAAGAGGGCAATTATATAAATAAGATTAAAACTATTTAAAATCTAACTAATCTTACATATAAAGAAAACTTGCAGTATAATAATAATTATCAAATATTTAAGAAAACTAATTGTAATAATCAATATAAGCCCAAAGATAAAAAGAAAGACTTGCTGTTTTATAAAAAATCAATAGTACAACAAAACATTCAATCCATAGTTTTAATACTTTAGATACTAGATCTAGAACATTGTATTCAAAAACAAGAAAAAATAGGTAATAATAACTATAAGGAGGATAAATTAAAATATAAAACGATTTTTTTTCTTATGAAAACAGTGAATATTTCTATGGTCCTTATTCAGCTTCTAATATGAAATTCTATAATAGATATACTATGCCTGAAAGTGAACTTTTCTTTGATAATATTCTTAAAAGAGGACAAGATATTAGACCTTTAACTTAATAAAACTAAGGTAGAATTAATAAATATTTTATGGATAATAACATTAATGGTAGAAATTTTACTCCTAATGATTAAAGATATACTAAAACCGCGGAAGGTGGTAAAAGAAAACTTTTCTATTAATAATAAAAATAATGAAATTTTTTTATTTATTTGATATTAAAAGGGTTTATTTAAAGAAAAATTTCAGATAAATAAATTAAGATATTTTTTATTTATTAAATAAATATATATTTTTTTTATTGTAATAAATATCTGCTAAATTAAATTTAAATTTAATATACTTTAAGCTTTATTCATATTTTTTAAATATATTTTATAAATAAATGCAATATGTTTGGATATAAATTTTGCTAAAATATATTAATTTAGCAAGCATATTTAAAAAAATAATAAATTTATTATTTAATTTTTTTTAGATATTTCCTTTGTTTTTTTTTTAAAAATAGAAAATAAATTTATAAATAATAATATTACAAACATTAAAAGAGATACAAAATGAATTAAAAATAAAAAGTTTACAAAGGGAAATACTTAAAAATAAAAATAATAAATGAAGGCTCTTTTGGAAAAATTTTGTTATGTGAATATGTTGATAATAAAGGTTAATATTGTGTTTTAAAAAAATATAAATTGAATTAAACGGAAGTAAATTATAAAAAATATTTCTAATTTAATATAAAAAATAATAGATAGATGAAAATTCAATAAAAGAAATTTATTATATAAATAAAATAAATCATGAAAATATTATAAAAGTAATAATTATAATCCATTTATTATTTATTAAAAATATACATTTTTAGTCATATGATATCTTCAAATTAAAAAAATCTTACAATTAATAAAATTATTTTGAACAACTTTACATGCATTTACCTTTATACATAGATTTGTCAGAAATAAGAAGAGATTAATTATCTGTTAGTGCAAAAAAATAAATAATAAAATAATTAGCAAAAGGAATAAAGTATCTTCATGATAATAAAATTATTCACCGTGTAATAAATAATATAAATTATTAATTAAAAATAATAAAGGACATTAAACCAAATAATATATTTCTTGATGAAAATGGCACAATAAAATTAGGTGATATGGGTATTTCAAGACCTTTTCCAAATTCAGTTAATGAATAATTAACAGGAAATATGATAACAAGACTTTATAGACCTCCTGAAATATTATTTGGAAGTAAGCATTATAATTAATCAGTTGATATGTGGTCTTTTGGATGTACAATTGCAGAACTTTTCTTAAGTTAAAATAAAAAACATTTTTTTCATGCTAATAGTGAAATAGAATAATTATGTGTTATTTTTTAAATTAGAGGTGCAGCTAATGTATACTTACTTTTTTTATTTTATTTTCTTATTCTTTTTTAAATAAATAGGAATCCAACTGGACTGATTGTACAAAACTATCTTTATATATGGATTTTTAAGATTTATAAGCTTAAGATTTGTAAGAGTTAATACCTAATGCTCCTAAGGAATGTATTTAAATTATTGATTAATTACTTTAATTAGATCCTAAAAAAAGATCAGATATTAATAAGGTTATATATTATATTTTTTAAAAAAAATAGTTTTATATTTTTTTTTTAAGATTTTAGAGAATTAATGGCTAAATGAAAATGAAGAAGAAGGGATAAATAAATTGAAAGAATTCTGTAAAGAAGAATACAAATTTATATTACAGAAATTATTGAATGTAAAGTAAGATAAAGATTTATGATTTGACATTATTACTATTTTTATTTTACTATAAAAATTTATATATTTTGAAAATAATAAAAAAAATATTTATTATTTATCACATATATATATTTTATTTAAAATTAATTAATTAATTAAAAAAATATTAAATTTATTTTTATTAAAGTTTATTGTAAAATAACTATAACATTAAAAAAATAAAAACAATAAAAAAATAAAGCTAATTATTTAATAAAATATTATATTTATTAGAAAATAATAATTTAAAAATAAAAATTGATGATATTTATCTTTTTAAAAAGGTTATATTTTATTAAAGCCAAATAAATAGTCAAGTCAATAAAAATTTTAATATAAAATGAAATAACATGAAAATCTATATAAAATCAAAAAATTTAAGAAATACCTATCATAAAAAAAAAATGTAAGTATAAATAAAAGAGGCTAAAAGATATACATATATTAAAAAATAATTATTAACAATAGTTAATAAAAATCAAAGTTTTCTTATATAAAAGAAAACATAATAAAAAAATAAAAGAATAAATTTAAAAATGTATAATGATAAATGTAAAAAAATAGATTTATATTGTAAATCAAAAACAAAATTGGTATAAAAAAAATTGTAAATGATTAAAAAAAATATATAAAATGAAATAAAAAAATGAAAATAATAAAAACTATAATTAAATATAATAAAAAAAATAAAATAAAAAAAAATATATATAAAAATAATATTAATAAATAAAAAAATTAATAAATAAAATATAAAAGAAAGTATTATTTTAAATTAAAGAAGTAAAGATTCAAAAAAAAATAATAATAATAATAATAATAATAATAATAATAATAATAATAATATTCCTAATAATAATTTTTTTATAACATTAATAAAGATCCTTATTATATTAATAAAAATTATTTTTATAATAGTATTCTTAATAGTAATAATTTCACTGTATAAATAATAATACCAAAATAATATTATTTAATATTTATATAAAAAGTAAAAATAATATAAATTCGATATTTTAAAATTATTTTGTTACTTTTAATTTCATATATAGCTTTTGCAATTAAAGAAATTCAATTAAAAATACATTACCGAACTAAAAAAATATTTTTTTGTTTATAAAATTAGTAAATATCTAATTAAATTTTTTTTAATAAAATAAATTTAAAATTATAAAAAAAGATATTTAATAATTTTTAATTAATTATCATTATAAATATACTTTAAATAATAATTGCAAAAATTATTTATTTTTAAATAAAATAAAATAAGTAATCTCACGTTGTAATTATTTTAATAAAGATTTTATTATAATAAAAACAAAATTAAATATATAAATAAATTATTAAATTTATAAATTATAATATTCAATTAATATTATTAATTTCTTATTTAAAAAAAATATATAATGATAAAATTATGACTTTTTTTTTTAGATTAAAATTTTATTTATGGTTTAAGTTTATACATTTTAATATTAAATTAATAAAATATGTTTTATATAAATAAATTAAATATATTATTAATTATTAAAATTAAAATTAATATTAATTCATTTAAAACATTAACTAAATATTAAATACTATTTCTTTATAAAAATAATTGATATTATATTAAATATCATAATAAATAAGATTTATTATTAAAATAATTCTAATAACGATAATAATTAAATATTAATAATTTGAAATAATTTTTCCATATTTAGAAATTAATTTAGGAATATAATTTAAGAACTATTTATTTCTTTTAATGGCGAATAATATAATTATAAAAGTTATGATAAGACTTTTAATAATACTTTTTAAATCATAATTATAATAGACTTATGAAGTTTAAAAATTTTGAAAATTATTGAAATACATTAATTTAAGAAATAATTAAAAACATAATATTTATTTATTTTCAAACTACTTTTTTTTATATAAGTTACAAAAAAAAATTAAATATAATTTATTTAAGATAAAAAATTAAATATTTATCATATATAATAAAATGTCAGGAATTGGTTAATCTAACTTATATAATATTTAAGAAAACAACCAAAAGTAAACATAAAATAGCAAGCTTAACTTATAAATGGTAAATAAAAATAAAAAAAATTCGAGAAAAAATAATAATAAAAGACACCAAGTTAATTAGTACAACGTTAATTAAAAGGGAATATATTAGATGAATTTTTCAAAAAGCCCTAAATAAAGAAATTTTAGAATTTAGCAGACTATTCAATATATACATAGAGTGACGTTTTAATAGACGAACCATTATTCGAACCCATTCCTCCTTTAATATAATTTATTGATTATGAACCTTTACAAATGAAAGAAAAAATATTTAAACTACGAAATAAAGATAAGGTAGCAAGAAGGGTTAAAATAATATAACCTGATTCTCGTTTATTTTAAGTTATTCCTGCTCTTTCAAATTAATCATTAGGCTAAAGTTAAATTTCAAATTAAAAATAAACAGAAACAGAAAAAAAATATATTGGAAATAAAGTAATTTTTTTTTTGTTAGAAAAAATAAAAAAATAAAAAAAGATTGCTCCTGGTATGGAAGCTAGCTTCATAATAAAATTTTCTCCTGAAGCTAAAATTGACTATCATTATGACCTTATTGTTGTTACTGAAAGAGAAGAATTTATAATTCCTATTTATGCTATTGGAAAAAGAGCGATGATAGAATTTCCAGATATACTTGATTTCGGATAATGCCCTGTAAAATACTTAACTGAAAAGCCAATAATAATCAGAAATGTAGGTGAAAAAGCAACGAAATGGTCTTTGACATTACCTTCTGAATTTGAAGTGGATAAAAAAGAAGGAGTATTAGAATATGAGAAAAATGAATAAATAGTTTTAAAGTATTTTTTTAAATGAATTTTTTTATTATTTTTTTTAAATCTTAGATTTTTTCCAAAAGAAACATAGCTTTATAAAAATAAAGGTATTTTAGAATATGATAATTTGAAGGCTTTTTTTAGTTTAAAAGCAGATGTTTAAAACCATTTAGTATATTTTTCTACAAATTCAATTTCTTTAGAAGAATCTTACATAGGATTAAGAAGCTAAGGAACTGTTAAGATTTTTAATAAATCACCAGTAAAAATAGATTTTGAATGGAGAACTTTTTAATCAGAAAATGAAGAAATGGAAAAAAAAGGAAGGTTAAGATTATAATTAGAAGAAGAAGAAGCTGAAGAAAAAATGCTCTTAAAAGAAATTGTAAACAATGAAAAAATTCAAGATGAAGAAATGGAATTTATGGATAATGAAGGCGATTCAGAGGATGATCAAGAAGATGAAAAAACTATTATTGAAAAAATTCAAAAAAAAGCAAATTTAATGTTAACTAGGAAATATAAAGATATACATAAGGCAATTGATGATGATCTTTTATTATTTTAAGATGATATTTTTTCTATTTAGCCTATTTCAGGATCCATTTGGCCAAATTCAGAAATAACTATTACAGTAACGTTTAGTCCTTAAGGATAACATTCATACCGTACATTTGCATATTGTAATATTTCTTGTAAATAATAAAGGCTGGAGTTGGAATTATAAGGTGATGGAATTGGTCCTAAAGCAGAACTTAACTAAAATGAAATTAATTTAGGAGATCCTTATGTAAATGAAGAAGTAAATTTAATTATTAATATAGAAAACAAAGGAGATATTGATTGTAAATTTGATCTTTTGCCAAATGAAAGACATTTTGGTAAAATGTTTAAATTTTTTCCAGAAAACGGATTGTTGAAAGTTAGCGAAAAAAAAGATATTAAAATAACTTTCTGTAGTTCAAAACCTGGAGAATTTAAAGAGACGTTTAAATGGAGATTACATGGATCCAATGATTTTCTTTAAGTTCTATTTATCGGACATATTAGAGCTCCTTAATTTGAATTTGACAAAGAATATATAGATTTCGGAAAAGTCTCATTCAATTTTCCCTAAGAATAAAGACTAAAATTAACTAATAAATCTACTGTGCCTTTCGATTATGTGTTGAGAATTCCTGGAGAAAATGGGCATGAAAAAGAATTTACAATTGAAAAAAGTTAAGGAAACATAAAATCTGGAGAAACTATTGAAAATGTGATTGTATTTATTCCAAAATATACTAAAAGTTATGATATGGTTCTAACAATCGATATTAAAGGAGTTGCTTAAGATATGAAATGTTTAAGTATTAAAGCAGAATCAGAGGTGCCTTAGGTAGAAATAATTCCTTAAGACAAGTTGGATTTTGGAGAAATTTTCCTAAAACATTCTGATGTGAAAGAAGTACAACTTATTAATAATTCTTTGTTAAAAGCTAAATTTGAAGTTTAAGAATAAAAAAAAGAAAGTATGATTATTGCTAAATATGAAGCGTTCCCTCCATCAGGAATTATTTAGCCAGGAAAAGAAACTACTATTAAAATCAAACTTACTACTAATACTTTAGGAGATATTTCACTACCTTTAGGAGTATTTTTTTTAAATTTTTTTTCTTTTCTTTAAATTATAAATTTTTTATATTATTTTTAATAATTTATATTATTTATTTATTTTGTTGTTTTTATTTTATTTTAAATTATATTTTTTTATATTATATTATATTATATTTTATAATTTTTTATTATTATTATTTTATTTTTTTTATTATAGATTATTATTATTGGAAGTAATAATAATTTACCTTACTTTATTAATATTGCTGCTTCCTCTATTGGTCCTAAAGTTGAAGCATAAAATTCGATTAAAGAAATTGATTTGGATCAGTAAATGTTTTATAAGACTATATTTAGAAAATTACAATAACTAATAAATCTTTAATTTAAGCTGACTTTAGAGCTTTACAAAGAACAAAGTATAATATTTTAAATTTTTTATAAATATTACTTAATTAGATTTCTATATTTAAACCATTATAAAAACATGGAATTTTACAACCTTAAGAATCTTTAGAAGTACCAATATTATGCAATGCAGACGATGCATCAAAGTTTTAAGATATTTTACATTTTATAATAGAAGATGGAACAGATATAGACATAGTATTAAAAGCAAAAGGTATAGGAAAGACAATATTTTGTGATATGGATTTAAGTTTATTAGATTTCTAAACCGTTTATACTTTTAAAAAACACATAATAGAAGTATTTATATAAAATAAAGGAAGAAAATAACAAAAGCTAACATGGGTAAGAAGAGCTGAAAAAAAAAAAGCAGTTGAAGATAATTTGAAAAAAAGTTCTTTAATTGATAATAATAATTAAACAGCAGAAGAAACTGTTTTTAGCATAGTTCCTGATAATGTAGTTCTTCCTGCAAAACATGGAATTATTTTTCAATTTAGAGGCTACTCTACAAAATCAGGATTAATTCCTGAGTAATTTGTATTAAACACTATTGTTGGAAACGAAAGAAAATCATATGAAGTTTATTCAACTACTATATAAGGAGATTTTATTAAGCCAAGTTTAAAATTTAGCGAAAAGAGTATTTATTTTAAATATAAATGGGAACAAAATATCCCTTTTTAGAATATAACGAAATCTTTGAATATAACTTGCATTTCTTAGCTAAAAACATAATTTATTGTGAAAGTTGAACCCCCATTTTCTATTGATAAATAATAATTTGAACTTAATTATGGAGAAAGTGCCGAAATTAAAGTTTAATTTGATCCTAGTTTAAAAATAGACAGAATTTCTGGATTTTAAAAAGGAAAACTCATTTTTATACATTAGGAACATCCTCATAAAGATACTATTGAACTCATAGGTGAATTATGTTTTCCAAATATAAAACTAGAATAAAATGTCGTTAATTTTGGCTCTATTTTAAACGAAACTTAAAAGAAAATAATATTAAGTATGTGTAATTTGTCAGAAATGAATATTAACTACTAATGGAGTTTTATAGAAGAATAAATTATTGATTAAGGTTCTAGCTAAAGTATAAATAAGAGAGTTCCTATAAATGAAGTGTTTGATATTTTACCTTTGTCTGGCCACTTAGAAAGCGGTGAAATTGAAAATGTGTAATTCATATATAATTCATTTGGGGGTTAGAAATACAAAACAATCGCAATTTGTAATGTAGAAGGCGGGCCAAAATATGAAATA